TCTGAAGTCCCCAATGGGCCCTTCACCAGCAGGCCTGGGGCTGCAGCCTTCTGTGTTCCCTTCCTCTCATCCTGGAGACAAAAGGCAAAATCCTCCAGAGAAGGTGGGATGGAAAGGCTCAGGAGAACCTCACCAAGGGCTTGCACAAAGTAGTATATATTTATAGAATTAAATAAAAACCCAAGGCAGACACTGCTCCAGGTCTGGGCCCCCAGTGCCAGGAGACCCCGGCATACCCCTGGGGCAAGTGTACCATTAGCAGCCATCAAGCCAGCAGAGGTGGGGGTGGGGCGGGAAGGTGCTCCCCGCACCCCGACCCAGTGCATCTGCCTCAGTTCCCCACTCTGCCTGGGAGCCAAGAGAACAAAGGCTTCCCCCTCCTCCACCTGGAGAAAGGGGGCTCGTCCCCCATGCCAGGGCCATGCGGAGGATGTGTCATGGGCCAGGGTCCCCAAGGGGACAGGGCATTAAATGGGGGCAGCAGAAGAGGACTGCAGATACTGTGTTCAGGAATATTTTAGCCCGGCCTCGCCCCACCGCCGCCCAGAGCCGAGGGGACAGCTGGCTGGTGGCCTAGCCCAGAGGAGCCACTAGGTGGCAGGAAAAGCCCAGCTCAGCCAGCCCCACCTGCTTCCACCACCAGCCCCAGAGCCCTACCCGCCCGCAACCTCCCCTTCTCCTCCCTCCTCCCTCCCGCCCATCCCTCACTGCGCCTCCCGTGATGGGGCCCCTGAAGTCTTTTCTTTCTTCCTTCCGCCTTTGGGAAGGGAAAAAGCTCTCAGTCCTCCTCAAAATGTGTTAATAATGATGATAATAATTAGTGCCCGTGGCTGTTTATTGAGTGCTGAAGAGGTTCCAGGCATCTTACATGCATTATCTCACCTGCTCACACATGAGGTAAGTTAAAAAAAAAACTCTCCGTTTTTTCAAGAGGAGACAGCGAAAGCATAAATAGATTGCTCTCAAACCCAGTGTCCTCGCTTGGGAGTGTTATCAAGTGGGTGTAGGCGTGGGGAGGACGGGAAGGACCCATCAGATGCATCTGAGTTTTGTCCACCATCCTTACCACCCCCTCTCCCCTCCCCCACTCCTTGAGGGTCTAGGAGGGTGTCTTAGTCTTGGGGCGAGTGTGAGGTTTGAAGAGGCTACCCAAGTGATTCAGGCTCACAAAAAACCCCACCCTGACTGAGAGCCACTGCACCCTACCCTGCTGCCTCACCTCCAGGCTCCACAAGGCATTCCGGGTTCTCCCCTTGCCAGCCTCGTTTCCCCTGTGAATTTCTATTCCAGTATGGCTGCCCCCCATTCAGGCCCAAAGGTGATTCCAGCCCAGAGGGCCTTTCTCCACTGCCAGTTCCTCTTCTGGCCTGGCTGTCTTTGACCTCCTGCATGGTTTTCAGCAAACATTCATGGGGGGTATTTCTCCGTGTGCTGGCACACCGCTAGGTTGAGGGGGTGGAAGACAAGCCGAAAACAAACAAGACACAGAACCCACTCGCCAAGTGCAACAAGAGTTTCACATGTCTAAAGCTGGGCCTATAGTCACTCTACATATGGTGTCCCACTCAAAGCCCCATATCCAGAAGAAAAGGATAACTATCTCTATAGCTGTTTCTTCACAGTATCAGGGCATTGGAAAAGGTGGCAGCTGTGGGGAAGGGGCACCAGTAGGTGACACCCGATGCACACTGAAACCTTTCTTCTTTGTTTTTTGGCCGCGCTGTGAGGCACGCGGAATCTTCATTCCCCGACCAGGGATCAAACCCGGGCCTCCTGCATTGGAAGCATGGAGTCTTAACCACTGGACCGCCAGGGAAGACCCACAATGAAACTTCTTGAAATCTTCTTTAACTCTGCCAAATCTCTTACCTAAGATAGCTGTTGCCAGACTCTCCCGTCCCATTCCAAATCTTCCAAACTAGCCCCAAGCTCAGCTGTTACCTTCTCACACTTATTTTTCTCTCCCAGGATAAGCCTAGCTAGCCTCTCCTATTCTCCTGCCTATCCCATCACCCCTCATGATTTGCAGAAAAAAGGCCCAGAAGCAAAGCCATGTTTCTCAGAAGGGGGAAGGGGGAAAGCCAGGGATGAGATGAGAAGGCCATGTGAAGAAGGGCACCTGAGCTGAGCTCTTGAAATGCAGGGTTTCTGTTAGGTGTGAATTCAGCAGGGGGGCAGTGGGTAGTTCAGTGCAACCTCTGGTCACTGGACAAAGCCTGCTGACCCTACCTCGGTGGCGTCTTCCAACTAAAGGGGCAGCATCTTCTCTGTCATTCTCTCTGACGCCACTGGCACCAGAAGGAAGCGGTCCACGTGCCCCCTCGGGAATATCTTGAGTTACAGTTATGTCACTTAGTTCGTGCTCTTATTCCAGCCACGAAAAGTCCAATCCCTTAAGAAGATTCTGAAGAATCCTGACATTTAGTGGCTAAAAGAACCCACCCATACCTCCAACCCAGTTGTCCTGTGCAAAAGGTGAAGATCCAGGTTCGAGTCTGGCTGACTAGGAAAACAAGGCAGCACTCCCGGGTGGGGGCTGACCTCATCTTTCCTCCACCACCACCACCTTGGCACATCCACTTAACTGTGCCAGCCCTGGGGGCAGGGAGAGAGCTGAATAGGACACAGTTTGTCCCTCACAGACCAGAGGTTACAATGGAGTAACCGGCAGACACATGAACAGCTATTTTAACAGAGGAAGGAGCATCTGTCTGGCTGACAGTGGCTGGTGAAAATTCCAGAGGTGACCCTGGAGGAAAATCTTGAAGGATGAGCAGTTCTGCAGGTGAAGAAGGTAGGAAGTTAGGGTCCTCCAGGCAGATGGGACAGTATGAGGGAAGGTGGAGTGGCGGGAGAAGGGATGCCATCATCTGGGGACTTCGAGTCAGGCTTTGTGACCAGCGTGCATCCCGTGTGGCAGGGGAAGGAGAAATGGCCTTGAATGTCAAGTTGAGGAGTTAAGGTTTTCTTCTCTAGGTTAAATGTCATCAATGATTTTAAACTAAGGAAGTGACTTGAGCACATCTTTATTTTGGAAGGACTATTAGAAGGACTGGAGAGGGGAACGAGGAAGCAGGATGGCCAGTTGGGAAGTTGCTGAAATTGTCCAGGTGAAAAAGGGGAGTGCCTAAACTAGGGCATGGCAATGGAGGAGGGATGCATGATGAGTCGCAGCTTAAATGGGGATCCGTGCACAGGATAAAATTGCAGTCAAAATTCCTCTTGAGAATCTCTTGGGAAGGGGCTCCATTAGACATCAACGATAACCCCGTTAGTGCTTCTTCAGAACTGGGGTCAACTCTCGCGCCTTTGGCTGAGCACCAGAGGAACATGGTTGGTTTTCAGAATCCACACGCCACAAACAGGCGCTAGAATCCTTATGCAAAAGATGCTTGCGGGCTTCCCTGGTGGCGCAGTGGTTGAGAGGCCGCCTGCCGATGCAGGGGATGCGGGTTCGTGCCCCGGTCCGGGAAGATCCCACGTGCCGCAGAGCAGCTGGGCCGGTGAGCCATGGCCGCTGAGCCTGCGCGTCTGGAGCCCGTGCTCCGCAACGGGAGAGGCCACGGCAGTGAGAGGCCCGCGTACCGCAAAAAAAAAAAGATGCTTGCACTCTAAGAGACTGGAAGGGAACCAAGACAGAAAATTCACTTTTCCCATCTCACCCTCAATCGGGGAACACAGATGAAATGGAGGAGGGAATCTCCTGCACAGCTATGATGTCATGTGCTTATAATTGAATTCAAGTGAGATACATGCATGATAAGACACCACTGAGAGGTGAGATGGAATGAAAAGTGGAGCTGAAAGTAGACATAGGAGAGGAAGGAGGTAGTTTCAGGTTTTGGGGGTGAAGAGTGTGGGAGGGGACCTTTTTATTTATTTTGGGCTCCCTGTTTCCAAAAGAATGCCTTTACTTCTGTGCGCTTTATCATGCAAGCCAGAGGGGACTAGTACCTCTTTCCTAACAAACCTAACACATCATCACTAATATGAATGATGCTGATTTGAAATGATGAAAACCTACGTCTCTACTTTCAAGAAATGCCTACTACTAACACTCTTGACTGTTGGTGTCGGCAAAGATTCTTTATGATCCAACAAGCTGTGTCCAAACGGGGGACATCAGAGCATTTGAATTGCTGATTCTGAGTTAAGCATTTTCCTTTATGTTCTTCACACTTCATGGCTTGGAGCATTTTTTCTTCCAAAAGGGAAGAGAACTTTAATCAGGAGTTCATGCCTTCACCGAATGGCTATCAGAATTGATAAGACACTGTTTCATCCTAACGTGGAACTGTGACTTGGGAATGAGCTGAATAGGGCAAGTGGGGATCCCGAGACTCCCTCCTGGGGCACTTCTGATCAGTCCTAAGAAAATGCAACTGCTGAGAACTAGGGTTTCATCTCACTCAGCATGCTTTCTACTCTGAGGATGCAGAAAAGCTGCCGAAAATTCTCCAAAATGTGCCAAGGTGGTACATTGGCCCTCTAAGTGGGGAACTTGGAGAGGGACTGGGTGGGAAAGTGGAGAGGGAAGATTCGAGCAGCTCCAAGTACACACAATCAGAGAAACATTTCTGGTCCTTTCCTCTCCAAAGAGGACAGCTCAGGAGGGAATGGGCTAGAAAGGCAGGAGGGACACAGGTCAAACTTATGAAAAACCTTGACTGCCAGCCTAGGTATATACTAGGAATGACTGCTATGGTAAAATAGGAACTCTCCCAAAGCAGAGCAAAAAGGCCCCAGAAAGCTCTCTGGAATTCTCCTGCATTTCCTGGGGAAGGAGAAAGCAGCTCTGAGCAATGGCCACCAGCCTCAGGAATTTTTCAACATCTCTAATTCTGACAAGACCAGTTCTGGATGCGCTCTGCTTAGCTGACATCACAGGGATTCTCCAGTTGCCAGGGGTGGGTCATCTGACCCTAAGTGGGTGGTGATGGTGCGAGGAGTCATACGAGATGAGAGAGGGAATGAAAAACAATAACCCAAATAACATGAAAGAATTTCTAAACATTTTTATTTCAAATCTCTTTTCACCCCTTCCGCAAAAAGACGTTGGTCAGTACAGCAATCATAAAAAGGAGATACAAACACCAAGAGTCAAATGTCTCCCGCACTGACACTTACAAAAAACCGGGAATTACACATGGGGTTTCCAAACAGGACCTGCAGCAGCTACTCATGTCCCTTTACAAGAGTCAAACATGCCTATGAATACAGTATATACAGACGCCCCATTCTGGAACTAATCTACAGGGACATCCCAACACCCTCCCATCTATCCCCAGAAAAATACCAAAACACACCCAAAGTGCATTTGTTTTGTTTATATCAAAACATCTTTCCCTTTCCCCAACCCACCCTCTGACCCTCCCACCCCATTTAAGATTGGCCTGCAAGTCTATTTTAACCATTTAGTAATTTTTTATAGTTTATGAAAATAAATTATACAGCAACTATTTTAATAAATTAAGCACAAAAAGGTAGAGGAAAGGAGAAAAACTAAATGGGAAGACAAAAGCCAGACCACGCTTTGGCTGGGAGGAGGGTGGCGCGGCTGAAGAGGACGGAAGTGGTTGCAGGGGCGATGTGGTCCCCCTTCCGGCGAAGAACTGGCAACCACCCCGAGCCCAGAACGACACCCCTCTTCACTGAGTTTCTTAAAAACCACCAAAAACTGTACAGCAGTGGCTGTGGCACGGGCAGCACCAGTTTGGGCCTTCCAACAAGCAGCCTGCCCACGGAGCGGTGCCTGGATTATGCTTCTTGGAAAAGGTTCTGGGCCTAACAGTGAGGGGCAGGTCCCTGTTCAAGCGAGCACCAGAGATGGGGTAGTCAGACCAGCCTTCCTGCTCCACCTGAGCTGGGTAGGGGGCTTAGGACGAAGCTCGGAGCGGGGCTGTGCGGGTTTTTGATCTCCTGGGTTCTGATCAAGAGTGTCCTAAGTTCACCTTACACTCCATCTCCAGGAGCAACTAGATCGCAGTCCAGCTGCGAGCAGACATTCAGGTCTTCCGCTGCCATGACTGGCTGCCTTTTGCCTGCCCCTCTTGGCATTTTGGAAGAGGGAGTGGGAGGGGGAGGGAGCAATTCCAGGTACCCTCTAAGGAGATGAAATGGGCGTGAAGGCATGTCACAGACTCAGCATGCAGGACTGGCTTCCTGGGAGGTGGATGCGAGTGGGAAGGAATGAGGGAAGGGGCAGAGAGGACAGGATGGGAAACAGGAAGAAACTGGGGGCACCTACCAGGAAGGTCAAGAAGCATGAAAAGGACAAAGACAATATGGAATCTGTATGTAAAGAAAGGTCTTTCCCTGGCAGATTAGAGAAATCAATGATTTAAATACAATTCCTTACTCTATTTTTATATCTGCAGCATCTGAGTCCCCAGTGCCTCTGTCTCTATGCTCCAACCCCCATCTCACACCTCCCAAGGCTTCGCTATCTTTTCAAGGCCTCCTGTCCTTTTGTGCTGAGCATGAAGACTCCAATGTCAAAAGAGGATAGATCATGGGGACTGGCAGACTTGACTTTGCTTTCTTGAGCTTTGTGGCCCAATAATCCTATAGCTATCATGGGGGGAGGGGGGTCATGATTTTCTTTCTTTCTTTTTTTTTTTTTTCTTTTTTAATAAAAAAGGTTTTACTCCCCAGGAGCAAATAAATCATTTTGAACTACTGATAAACACTGCTGCAGTGAAGAGAAAGATGGCTACATGTATGCAATAGCACAAATTCAGTGTAAGGACAGCTGTGTTGACAATTAGAGATAAAAATCATTTATCCGTTTCCCCCTTTCCCATGAACCAAACCACGAGGATTCCCATAGGGAAAATGTTTAACTCAAAAGCTCCTCCCTTAGGGACAGGGGGCACGTCATTCTCTTAAAAGTGGACAACATATGGCAGGTCTCCCCCCAGTGGAGATGCTCTCAACACCCCCACTGGTGGCAAAACTTCTGCAAATGAAAACACACACACACACACACACACACACACACACACACACACAATGACTTTCAGACCTCCTTCCAGCAGCCACAGAGCTGTATATGCCAATGCCCAGGCCTCCAACTTCAGGGCTCAAAGCCAAGGGAGAGGCAGGAGGGCAGGGGGGAATCTAACCTAGAGGACAAGTTTCTCCTAACCCCATTTCCTGCCAGGGCCAAGGGCTTCAAGCAGGCTGTGCTCTTCCAGTCTTCCAGGGCCCGGGGTGAGGGCTGAAAAGGCTGGCACCCAGGGCATCCGGCTTTACTCCAGTCTCTCACCCCAGATCTGAGAACACTAACCACCCTCTCACTTGCCAGTGCTTCCTGGATGTGCACTGTGGGGGGTGCCGCTATCTCCACATCTCTCCCAGCCTTAATAAGGGGACTGTGTAGTCAGCTCCGGTGACAAGTAGGAAAGGAGGAGGAGAGACCATGGCAGCAAGCTCCCCGCCACACCTCCCCCTCAGGAACCTGGGTGCTGCGGCCCAGGGCTGGCCTTCCAGGGTGTCACACTCACTGCACCTAGGCACAGGCAGGCAACCAGGCCAAGGTCATTGCCAACTGTCCCAAACTCCTAGTTTGTCACCCATTTATCTAGTCCCCACAGCAGAGCCCCCACCGCCTTGCGCCCTGCAACCACAGCACACGAATTTCAAGTAATAGCAAGTTGTAGCAGTAGCTGTCACTAACTCACAGTGGTTCACGCCTGTCCTGAGGAAGGTTACAGCAGACCAGTCATAAACAAGCGAGGGTTACACAGGCAGGGCCTGAGGGTATTGACATCACCCATCCACAACTTAGAAACCAATGACGGGTCCCTAGAAGTGAGAACCTTTTCCAGTTTGTGACTTGAAAATACAATGACCAAAAAGCCGAGTTCCCTCTGCAGACTGCATTTCAATTAGCACTACACAGAATCGGCAGGGGGGCAGGGGCCGCAGGCAGGAGAGGTGAAGGGGAGCTGCTGCTGAAGGCCAGCTGCCCCTGTCCCTCCCTGTTTACTCTGACCAGGCTGGTGCCCTTCCTCCTCACCTCCTGATGAAGCCTGTTTCCTCCTGCACAACTCTGTCTTACAGCCCACTCTACTAAGGAAGGACCAGGCTACGGCCTGGGCTGTGACTAATGCACAGACAGATCACGGACACAGTAAACACTACCCTTCCCGGGAGGAGAAAGGATGGTGGTGAGGGTGGGTCACGCCTCCTCAGCTGGTTTGGTTTTGTACCTGAGAGTATGGATTCTCCACTGGAAACCCCTGGTACCACAAGGGGTCCAGGGGCTCTGCCTTCCTCACCCAGGCTGTGCTGAGAGCAGTGAGGTCCTTGACCACAGGCAAGAACCTGGCTGACTTCTGGCTTTCGGCTCCACCTCGCCATCATAACCCCTCAGTATTCAGACCTGCCTGATGACTAGGAAGTTTCGGTCTAGACCACAGCACAGAAAAAGGATTCTTTGATGCCACTGCTCTAACTTGGGACTGTGCACTGTTCAGTACACACCCTGCAGATTTCTGCTTCTGTGCTCCTGTTCTTGTGTTTCTCATCTCACTGCCCTGCCCTCACCTAAAAACCAAAGTCTCACAGCACCAGAGCTTTCCTAGACCATCTGATCTACACTGATCTTACCCACTCTGAATTTCTTTAAAGACAGCCCTTGATTCTCTCTGCCATGCTGAGTCATTCTCCAAATGCTTCACGTGTGGCAGCCACCTAAAAGCTCCCTTAGGCCAGAGAATATGTCTTCCGCCTCCTGTGTTTTCCACAGTAGCTAGCCCAGAATCAGGCAAATGAACACTAAAAAGTAGTTAAAAAAAAAAAAAAAGGGAGATCCCACGCAGCCGCACAACAGCCACTCGAGGATCTCAGTGGATTCCAGACAGCAGGCTTTACAGCTGGGTGGCACTGTCTGCAAGATGGCAAGTTAATCTGTACCTTCAAGAGGCAAGACCCATAGGTTAAGCCAATTCCCGGGATCACAACCTTAACTGGTTGGTAATACTACCACGGCAGCCAGAGAGAGAAGAGGTACTACACGACAAATCAAAGGTGGGTGGGCTGTGTTTATGCTACAAAGCTCATTTTGTGGGCCACCTCTTCACAGCCAGGTAACAATGCAAGTTTCCTCCCTATTCAGCTATAAGGAGGAAGAATGGTCATTCCATGCAGGACGTAAGGCAGAAGGCCAATGCTCCCAGATGAGGCAGTCCTATAAATTACAAGACACTGGGGCCTCACCCCAAATGATCAGGAAACCACAAACCTGACAATATTATTTATCTCATGCGATGAGGCAGATATAAGCATAGGGGAACCAAAAGAGGAAGTCTGTTGAAATACTTACTGCAAAAGAGTAATAAAGATCAAACAGCTCAATTTTCACATCTTAATAGCAAACCCCTCCTCAGAGTAACTCTACAGAAAAGCAAACTCACAATGTTGTATGATTTGACAATGGCCAAGTTCAGAAAAGCACTGGAGTTTTTCTCCCTCTTCCTCCACTTCCATCTGGAAAACAGGCAACTCTCAAATCAGTATCTGACAGACTTCCCAGTGAAAGGAGGGCAAACAGGATCTAACTCAGGAAAATGTTTGGGTCGCCAGAAAGAACTCAGGAAAATAAAGAAGCCCTTGCTACCTCCTGCTCCAACAAACCTAAGAACATGAGCTGTAATGCTCTCCTCCCTCCTCATTGATCTCAGATGTGCCATTAAGGCTGAGACACTAGGGAGCTTTCTCTAGGAAGAGCACAATAGCTTCGTTTCTCACCTTCCTCCACATTCCCTCTCACTATCTGACAGACATGTGGAGGTAAGGAACACTGACTAAGTCATGGGTATGGTTTGCCATTAAGAATCTGGAAGCACGCTCCATTAACTTCAGCAGCCCGGGATTGGAGCTCTGAACTGTTCCGGTGATGAGAAAAACTATTGCCTCGACAGCCGGCGGAAGCAATAGGAATGATGTTACCATGACCAGAGTGAAAGGTACAGTTATCTCGAGGGAATGGGTTGAAGGCAGAGGAAGAACAGGGCTAACTTGAGGTCACAGAACTTAGGAATTCAGTAAAACAAAACGAACACAGCTGCTATGAGAGGTGATTCTGAAATCAGGTTCCTAAACCTTAAAAGCAAAGTATGCGAGGAGTCACTACTTCCCCCGGCAGAGCTATGTGCCAGTTCTGTCCAGTCATCATCTATTCAAGACTAACCACCCTCCTCTCTTCCCTGCTCCTGCTGAAGCTACCCATACGCCTACAGAGAAGCAGATTCTCAGCCCTCAGAAACTCCCAACTTGATTTGCACTTCTGACTCCTTCTTTTCCCTTCCTCAAGGTCAATGGTGGAGACTCGAATTCTGCCTTTGGCACCACCTGAATGACCCTCACTGGCAATCCCCTCTCCTCCCCTCCTCTCCTTTGGATCTGCTCACCCTTGGCACCACTTCCAATCCAATGCGCACAGACCCCAGCTGCCTTTAGGGTGAGTTTTCCATACTGAGAAATGCAAATATCCAGAACAAAACTTCTGAAAAAGGAACAGTGTTGAGACTTCTTCCAGTTTTCCAAGGAGTTCATCCAGTTCCAGTAGCACAGGGCTGGATGTGACAAGGTGGAGCCCCACTCAGAGAGTCTGGTCGTGTGCTTCATCCAAGCCCCAGAGCGGCGAGGGGAACCAAAGTCTTTGCACAGAGGATCCCAACCCTTCCTACTCCTCTTGTTTTCTTCACTCCCGTTTTCATGGTAGCTTCATTTGGTTCTTCGAAACTGGAGCTTGGCAACCAAATGCCTAGGTAAAAAAGGGGAATAATTAGAGTGGCTCAATAGAGTGGAACCAAAATGGAGTGAAAGAACAGCCTCTGGAGGTGGAGAAGCACAGCTCAAAGGGAGAATGGGGCCTGGAGAGCCAAGTGCTTCCACAAACACTGCAGCCGGCTGGGGATGCAGCAGTGGCCTTTGTCACAGGGACCTGAGCAGCCTACAACCTGGTCGCCAAAAAAAGCTCCTAAAATGACTAATAAAGATGTCCTACACACTGCCTCCCTTCTCTCTTTCCCATTCCCCTTCATTTTCCACACACTTTCCCTAAGGCCCATCTGCTCTAGGCACTGAAAAAAGAACTGAGTCCCTGGAGTAACCCCTGGTGAGCCAAGCTAGAAATAGCTGTAGGCCCTGTGGCTTCTGGCTATTGAAGAGGGCTGACATATAATCACAAAGGCCAGTGCAGCTTCTACCTTCTGATTTAAGAAGGGCACTGTTCCAGCTGTTACCCTGTGCCCTAACTACAAGTACCCTGGCAAAAAATTCTCCAGGTAAGAGCACACACAGACCAAGTGGCCCACTTGGAACTCTGAAACTAAAACTAGCCTGACCAACAAGAAATCATAACGGCCGAATTTCACACCTGAAAGTCCTTTCCCTTGGGAAGTGTTACTTCCCTTTTTCAAGGGGTCCTAGGAGCAAGTACAGCATGATGCTTATTCTTTGCTACAAGCAACAATCCCAGTGTCACAACAAAAAGAGGCCCCGGGAGTTCAGTGCAATCCTTTGCCAATACGTGACTGCCCCCCACACTCGTGGCAAATGCTTAGCCCCAGCCTATACCTGATCATATCAGGGCCTTTGTACTTATAGGATCCCCTGCCTAGAATGCCTGCTTCCAAGATCCTCTCACGGTTAACTCCTTGATATTCAAATCTCAGCTGAAATGTCACATCCTCACAGGAGCCTTCCCTGATCATTCAAACTTGAGTAGTATGCTACCGTTAACCACTAAACTTCACCCAGTTTTATCTTCTTCATAACATGTACAGTCAACTGAAATTAACCTATTCACTTACTTACATGCGGCTGTCTGTCTCTCCCGACAAGAACTACAGCTCTGAGAGAACAGGGCCTTTGACTATCTTGCTTGGCACCCTCTTCCCGATTCACACCGGCTACTTTATAGACGTTTGCTGAATGAATAAACAAGTGATGGGGAACTCACTAACTCCTGTGGAAAACCATTCCGTATTTGCACCTGTTAAAAAGCTTCTTCTAAAGTTGGACTGAAATCTGTTTAAAACTTATACTGTGGTCCTTCTCCTGCCCCCTGGAACCACACAGAATAAGTTTAATCACTCTTCCTTAGGAAAATCCATCAAATACTTCTTTTGGTCACCAAGGCCCTCGTACCCTAAAACTTCTCTGGTCCATGATAATCATTTATTCCCCACACGATGAAGTGTGGAGCCCCCCACCATCCTGAACCTTTCTCTGAATGTGCCTGTGTTCGTGGGGGCCCCTCCTAAGGCACAGCACCCACAGAAACGGTGCTCTAACTGAAGGGTCCCAATTACTCCTCAACAGCGCAGTTGCGTAGGTGGGCCCCCCTAGTTCCCCACCCTAATCAATGCAAAGCCACCAAGCAGAGAAACCCTCCTAGACATTGGAGCACTGAGATGTTTTAGGAGACACTTCCAAGGGCATACAGCTCGCCGATACAGTCACACCTCGTTTAACTTGTTTTGCTTCACTGCCCTTCACAGATACTGCATTTTACAAATTGAAGGTCTGTGGCAATCCCACATCATCAGATGATGGTCAGCATCTTTTAGCAATATTTTAAAGTTCAGTTATGTAGATTATTTTAGACATAATGCTAGTGCACACTTAACAGACTACAGTATAGTATAGATAAAACTTTTATATGCTCTGGGAAACCAAAAAAATCATGTGACTTGCTTTATTGCGATATTTGCTCTCTTGCAGTGGTCTGGAAATGAACCCAAAGTATCTCCAAGGTATGCCTGTAACTGAAGACATGACAAAGAAACTGTACATCCAGCCCAGGATCCTTTAAGTTAAAACTCCCGCAGCCGCCTGGAGATACCATTTCTTGATCTCTCTTCTTCATTCCTTCTCTCCTTGCTAAACCTGGCTCACATGCTCTCCCCCGCAGTAGCACAGGATCAGGGACCACCAGAGCCAAGAGGAGACACACAGCTGGGTTCACCTGAGCCACAAAAGAACCCATAGGACAAAAACACCAGTTGCCATTTTCTCCCATTAAGAAGAGAACTGAGAGGGTGGGGAGAATTAAAGCCCACTTTTCACTCTAAGGCTGTCACTCCTGTGGGTTATTCCCCTTAATTTGTTTTGTATGGGGGATGGGAATGGGAACAGAGGAGGTCAGAAGAGAAGCAGAAGAATTCAGTGCTTAAAAAGGACACTCAGGGGTTTCCCTGGTGGCACAGTGGTTAAGAATCTGCCTGCCAATGCAGGGGACACAGGTTCAAGCGCTGGTCTGGGAAGATCCCACATGACGCGGAGCAACTAAGCCCGTGCACCACAACTACTGAGCCTGCGCTCTAGAGTCCATGAGCCACAACTACTGAGCCTGCATGCTGCAGCTACTAAAGCCCGCGTTCCGCAACAAGAGAAACCACAACAATGAGAAGGCCGCGCATCGCAAAGAAGAGCAGCCCCCGCCTGCCGCAACTAGAGAAAGCCCGCACACAGCAACAAAGACCCAACGCAGCCAAAAATAAATAAAATTTTTTTTTTAAAAAAAAAGGACACTCGGGACTTCCCTGGTGGTCCAGTGGTTAAGAATTTACCTTCCAATGCAGGGGACACGGGTTCGATCCCTGGTCGGGGAACTAAGATCCCACACGCTGCAGGGAAACTAAGCCTGTGCACTACAACTAGAGAGCCGGCGTGCTGCAATTAGAGAGAAGCCCATGCACCACAACTAGAGAGAAGCCCGAGCGCCGCAACGAAAGATCTTGCTTCCCACAACTAAGACCTAACACAGCCAAATTAATTAATTAATTTTTTTTTAAACAGGACACTCCTCAGTAAAAAGGGGTTGGGGGTGGTCTCTGCACCCCAGCAGCAGATCACTAGAATGCGAGATCTTGCACATAACCCACACTACCAAAATCACCATTCTCTAGCAATTTTGTTCCCTACTCCCCTCTACCTTTCAATGTTCACATTAGTGCAATTTAAGAAGACTTTTTTTTTTTTGGCTGAGCCCTGAGGCATGTGGGATCTTAGTTCCCTGACCAGAGATTGAACCCACGCCCTTGGCACTGAAAGCGTGGAGTCCTAACCACTAGACCGCCAGGGAATTCCCAAGAAGACTAATTAAAATTCATATGTGCAAACCAGTATTCCAAGATATTTTATGGGAAAATAAATGAATACTCAGTGTAGCAATGGGAGAAGAGCCTCTTAGATAAATGAATTCCTTAGTTAATTCATTTATCCTTTTCAACAATTTACTTTTCAGTGGCCCAGATGGAATTCTAAATAGAAGAGCAAGCTGTTTTTTCCTCATCCCCATATTCCAAGCCGTGGGACAGAGTGGAACTCTCAGTGAAGTGCATGCCTATTACAATTAAGGGCATTTTGCGTTCCCTTTGATGAAGTTTTCTTCCCCTTTGCTTTCCTGCTTTATATGTCATTTGTGCGATATCAGGGCGATCAGCCAAAGTAGGAGAGAAGGCTGCACACTTAGCTGCACTTGTGTGTTTTCTTTATATATATTCAGTGATTAACTCGCTTGTTGCTTGGCAAATACTCTTTAAGCCTCTTGTGTCTATCTGCTCTTCTCCCAATTGGGGTATGTGCCTCCCTGGGACTCCATGATCAAATGTGGCGACTCTCTGGACAGATGCCTGGATCAGGGTATACGCATGAGGTGAGAGGAAGAGGGACGAAGCCCAGTGCATGATAACCGCCCAGGAGGAGACTAGGTTGGACAGTGAGGCAGAGTGGAGGCATACCCTTGGTGGTGACCAGCAGGGGGCCCCTCGCTACGTGGAGGGTTCCAACACCTCTTGCTTCTGTTTGGAAATGAGCTGCGCTTCCTTTAGAGACAGGTATACCTCTTCCTGAGGATCATAGTAGTAGAACTTTCGGATATAAGAGATCAGAGGCCTACGAATAACACAAGAGGGATACACACAAATGTTATACATAGCTTATAAAAGAAATACCACCTTTATTCAACCCTCCCTTCTTTTCAATCCCTGTATGGTTGAGACAACACCAAAGACTCTTTGTTGCCCTGACAAAATTCCCACTTTCTCACTTATTATAGTTCTGTCTCCCTCTCTCTTACCACCTCCACTCTACCCTTCACAGAGTCTGCAGAAGGGAAGCCAACACACATACACACCTTCCTCCTTCCTGGCTGTAATGTGACATTTCTAAGTTAGGTGCTAAGACATAGGAGAAGTGAAAGGACAACGCCTGTGAGTTGCCAGGCTCTGCCTGTACACTCAGCTTGCAGGCCTCACTAACACTGTAACTAACCCTCCATTCCTGCCCCACCTCTAAAGACCCCATTGTACTTAGGCAGTGGGAGATCCGGGATGTGATCTATCCGGACGAGCTGTCGGATTCGGAATCGGCAAAGGTGCTGGAGGGATTTGACATTGCTGAATCGGGACACTGGATAGAGCAGCTGGACTGGAGTTGGTGGCAGTCCTTCAAGAACGAAAACCAAGAGAAATATTCAGAGGACACTATACAGCTAACTATAATTTTCCGTATGAAGAGAGTCCAGGGAAGGGAAATGGGGCTTCTTTACAGCTCATCTATGTGTTCTGTGCAAAAGCTCCCCTCCACAAAGGACTGCTGATTTCCATACCACCACCACCATATTTCATACTCAAGGGAATCTATGCTCCCCTGCTGCAGGCCTCCCCAACCTCACTCTTAACAGCTAAGAGTCTTGCTCTTCAGAGCAGCTCAATGAAAAAATGCCGAGCTACAGACTTTGCTCGGAGCCAAGCGGCCAATCCCAGGCCCAAGGCTCTCAGTCAAGGGCAAGAATCAAAGGTATCGCTATTGGGAATGGGAGACACTTGTTTAGCATCTAGAGTACCCTGAAGGTGAGGACTCAGAAAGGCTGTTCAGAGGGGTCCCCACCAAATTCCACCTGAGAGGCTGGTAAGCAGAAGGCAACAGCTAGGATCAAATTTTATAAGCCTGTCACTCCTGCCATTTACTTCAAGCCGGGACAGTCAGGTTTAGCTACCTCTTACTCCCCACCAACCCTCCACCCCCACCAACCACCCTCCTTGCTTCTGAAATTTTAGGTTGGGTACAGGAACAGAAAAAAAGAGGATGATGCTTTTAAAAGAAAAGCAACTACAGCAGCTTGGGCAAGCTGGAATTGGTACTACTCTGCACACAAGTGCCTGCTGACTAATGCCAGCCACGGCTGATGGGAGCCCCACACTCTTATGTTTCATCGCAATATCAGCAGACTCTGTGCTGGGAAATTCCAACCCCCTCAGGGGTCAACATCACAGAATGCACCCAGAACGGCAGGGACACTGAAACAGATTCAGGGGAACAAAGAATACCCTGGTTTCAATAAACAAAGGGGCTATGGAAAGTAAACAAGAAAAGTGCTCTCAGACAGAATCTGAGTTGCAAAACCTTTGAAAGAATTCTTTTCTCAGCCATTGCCATATCAAAAGAAATTCTGTAGACAACTTGTTGGGAAATAAAATATCTAGTATTTTTGGAGTTTAATTTCAACGAGTTTTTAAATTTTGTTTGAACGCATGAGAAGAAAAAATTAAAGCTTGTAGATTGCCTCCCAAAGCCCTTTCATGGTCGTTAACAACTGACTTTCTAAAAAAAATTGAAATACATGTTATGCTAAACAAGTAAGCTTATCTTAAAATCATTTAACTCATTCAGTCTTCAAAGCCGTATTCAGACAGATAGCACTATTATCCCCATTTTACAATGAAGGAACTGAGGCCTATTGAGCTGAGAGAATGTGCTCACAGCTCAGAACCAACAAAGCTGGCCTTCCTTGAACACCTACTCTGTCTGAGGAAGAGTTTAGCCCAGGGAACCTCAAAGGAGGGTCCTCCAGGAGTCTCCTCAGAGTGCCTGTCCCTGTGACTGTCTGACAGGGGGGCTGTCCAGACAGTCACAGCTCCTTGATTCAGGACCAGTCTCTCTTGACTTCTCACCTCCATCCTTCAAATCTAAGGCTTATATTTTGAAGCACTGTAGCCCTTCTCCACCCACACACACCATTAAAAAAAAAAAAATTCACACATGGATTTTTCTCTTGAATATATTTAAACTCAAGTGGTTTTAAAATGATTGGGGTTCAAATTCCTCTTTGAATTTTACCCTTTCTCTCATGTTTTAAAAACAGTCTTTAGTAAATTAAACTATGACAAACAGAAAGCTTCCTGGGGGGTTGGTTGTAATATTGCTAAACTCAACATGACGTTTCAGAGATAAAAGTAATTTATGCACCTAATTATTTACTCCCAAAGAAGGACTATAGGACTTGTGCTTAAAGAGGTCAGGATAATAAGTAGCATACAATTATCTGATTGTTTGCCTACTTGAATTTTAATGACCATATATACTTGCCTATTTAATTGTGTTACTTTTAGCCTTAAGTTCACAAATAGCAATTTGAAACCTGTTAATCTCTGATATTCCCTGGTTTTGTCCGCAAACACAGAAAATGATTGAAGCTCTCACATCCAGAGCTTGTTAACAGATGAGGTCAGAAATGGAAATAAATCCAACATAAGACACCAGTGCAGCGAAAGTGAAAGACAAGGTAGAAGAGTGATCATCAAGAACTTTCCTCTGGTCCTCAGCCAGGGTCCTGGGCACAAATCCAGTTTCCAGCCCCTTGGCTATTTTCTCTTTCCCCAAAAAGGAGCAGGTTAGGAGTGACAAACTTCTTTCAGGTCTGAGCACCCAAACACCCAGGTCTTCCTCCCACAACAAACTGTTCCCTGAAGGCCAGAATCATCCAGCCCCAAACTTGTCAATAGGGCCAAATTGAGAAATTCTAGGATACAAGGAAGACTTAGCCCTAAACAAGTAATCATGGCCTAAATGATGGTTACAAAAGAGGAAGCGACCAACTTCCTTAGAGTTATCCAATTCAAAGTGTGATTAAAAAAAAACAAAAAGTGTTCTCTCTTCAGGCACTTCACAGCTGATGGAGATTCTCCCAACTAAGAAGGACACATTCACTTTGAGTTCTGGCTCTCACAGCACCAGAAGTTTTGCGCTAATCCAATCACATTCTCTTTCTGAGATTGCTGCTTGGTGTCAGGGGTTTAGTTTACAACTGTGAAATGGACCAGGCTGAGGTGTAGTCAGCAACCTCAGATTTACCATGGCCATGCTCCAACACTGCCATGAGAAGAGATAAGGGGCAAACCAAGCTCAGGTGCCACCATTTTTACCACGATGCGAACTATTCCACTTACTAAATTCCTTCTGCTCCTTACTTGCCACCATCCAGAGCTTTCCCATTAGTCCCAGCTTTAAAATTCCCATAAGCCCTGGCATCCTTTTACACCAGTCTGGATGTGCTGTGACTGCATCCAGCTCTAGATCTGAGCCAGAAAAACCTGACGTTGCATCCTGACTCTGCAACTCACTGCACATCAGTTTCTTAATCTGTATTTTAAAAAAGAAAAAAAAAAGGGAGACTGTAACATCCCTTCAAGGGATTTTGTAAGGGTTAAATGAAATAATACTAGCCCCTTGTAGGCATTCAGTTATCATCATCCCAAAGTCTAAACAAAAGGGCTCCTTTTAGAATGCACTGTGTTATAATCCCTGGTGCAGGCTGACAGAGCTCAACCTACATTCTAATGACTACCACTTCCTCACGGGAATCCTCCCCCCCTAATAAAGTCAGCCTCACAGAATGCCTAGACCTCTGTGATAAGCAAAGGAAGGCAGCAAACAATGGTAAAGGAGAACACTGGCCTTGCCTTCTTTGTCCCAATCCTTCAAAGAGAGGTCACTTACAGTCTAGGGGTAAATACTAATTCGCTTTGCCTTGTCAACTTGATTACAATTTTAAGTGCAAATGGATATCCTACCTGTAGCATTCCTCACAGGTCCTAGAAAGACAGTCTCCACTAATAAACACAATTCTGACTTCTTCATGTCCTCTCCACAAATCCCAGCAAACTCGACCTGCAATTGGCTTACTGCTATTTTTTCCCCATAACAGAGGGTGGGAAATAAAGCACAAGATTTGGAGTTAGTTCGGCCTCAGTTTGAATCCTGGCTTCAGCACTGAGTAACCTTTAGAGTAAGTGGCTTCACTTTTTTTCTTCTAAGAAAGTTTTTATTCCTCATTTATTTTTAGAAGATAATTTCGCTTGATACAAAATTCTAGGCGAGTGGTTTTTTGTTTCAAAACGTTAAATATTTCAATCCACTCTTTGATTTCTTGCATCGTTTCTGAAAAGAAGTCTGATTTAATTCTAATCTTTTTTTTCTTAATAGATCTTTATTGGAGTATAATTGCTTCACAATACCGTGTTAGTTTCTGTTGCACACCAAAGTGAATCAGCCATATGCATACATATGTCCCCATATCCCCTCCCTCTTGAGCCTCCCTCCCACCCTCCCTATCCCACCCCTCTAGGTCATCGCAAAGCACCGAGCTGATCTCCCTGCACTATGCTGCTGCTTCCCGCTAGCTACCGAATTTTACATTTGGTAGCGTGTATATGTTGATGCCCCAGCTTTCCCTTCCCACCCTGTGTCCTCAAGTCCATTCTCTATGTCTATGTCTTTATTCCTGTCCTGCCCCTAGGTTCATCAGTACCATTTTTTAGATTCCATATATATGTGTTAGCATACGGTATTTGTTTTTCTCTTTCTGACTTACTTCACTCTGTATGACAGACTCTAGGTCCATCCACCTCACTACAAATAACTCAATTCTGTTTCTTTTTATGGCTGAGTAATATTCCATTGTATATGTGTGCCACATGTTCTTCATTTTTGGGCCTCACCCTTAAGTTTCCTCACTGACAAAATGAAAATAATCTTTTTTTTTTTTAAGTAGACCAATCTATTAGCTAACTGTTGCAAGAAATTACAGCTACTGAAATAAAGAACCTGACAAAGTACCTGGCACGTGATAGGCACTCAATAAACAGTAGCAATCACTGCAAGCTCTAACCCTTAACAATGTTAAAAATCTTACTTAAAATTTCTGCAGACAGGGCACATTTGTGGAATGAAACGTGCTATACCTGAGGAGTCCAAGACTCCATGAAGTCTCTCAATACTCTACAAGTAGATACATGCTCCAGGCTTCAGAATCCTCTGAGAGGATTTCCCTGGTTCACCCACAAACAGAGCTGATTACCCACCCTGTCCTTGTCAATCACTGTCATGTCTTGTATTGAATTTAACATGTGCTCTTGCCTTTATCTTCCTACCTGTCCCCTTTTTTAAGCTAAGAGCTCTCTGAGCGTAGAGAAGTGGCTTATTTTTGATACTGAGTTTAAAAAATAAATGTTTGTTTGTTAAATAAATACCCCCAAAGCCACAAACTCTAAAGATTGCTAAGCAGAGTCAGTTCCTGTAAGAAGGATTCTAACATTTTCCTTTTAACCAAGTCAACTGCATGAGACCCAACTGCCTTGACAGCACTGAGGCAAATACTAAATGAAGTGAGAATTAATACCGTTCGCACCCTGTCGTGCCTTATTGAAATCACCAAGATTATAAAACACACTCCTGTAACCTGGTTCAATCCTGTTACTAATGTTCCGCTGGAGGCGTCCCTGTAACTTCTTTTTAGAGCAATTTCTTGGCACCCAGTTTGTTTAAGAATCTTAATTTGATTCAATGGCAAAGCATGAAGTTCTCATGTAAGTTCTGTTTGTACCTTACAAATTCCTCAGTTAATGTGCTTGCCATTTTACTTTTTTCCAACACTATAAAAGCAGATTCCTGCAAACCATCCCTTCTCCCCACCCTTCAATAGAGACTATATAGCTACCTCCCTACTTGGGCAGAAAGACTACATAACCACACCAGCAAGGATGGGAACTGCCTAGTGCTCCCAAATGGAGACTAGTCTCTGTATTCAGTACTGGTAGGGATACAGGACACAACAAAAAGTATCTACTCTTTGGACTTCCCTGGTGGCGCAATGGTTAAGAATCCACCTGCCAATGCAGGGGACATGGGTTTGAGCCCTGGTCCGGGGAGATCCCACATGCCATGGAGTAACTAAGCCCGAGCGCCACAACTACTGAACCTGTGCTCTACAGGCCGCAAGCCACGACTACTGAGCCCGCATGCCACAACTACAGAAGCCCTTGTCCCTAGAGCCCATGCTCCGCAACAAGAGAAGCCACCACAATGAGCAGCCTGCGCACCACAACAAAGAGTAGCCCCCGCTCGCCGCAACTAGAGAAAAGCCCGCACGCAGCCAAGAAGACCCAATGCAGCCATAAATAAATAAATAGGTAAATAAAAAAATCTACTCTTTGACAGAAAGTTTCGTACAAATGGACAAAATCCAGAGCAGACTGCTATTAAATTCAGCCTCCTTGACACTCACCATTTCTAGTGAATACTCTTTTACTTTCCCTGTTCCCCAAGGAGATGAACTAAGAGCTCTCTGTTTCACATGTAAGTGTGAGATGCCTGGATCAGGGACAACGAGATACCTCTGCAAGTTAAATATTCACATGACTCCTGGACATCAGTGGTGGGATCAGTTTTTTCATTCATACGATCAAAGAAACAAAGATTCCTTCTCAATATGTTGAGGGATCAATTCCTTCTCAATACAAGGGCAGGAGAGGGATCTAGGAAGAGTGGTTGCTACAAGAGCCAGGAAGAAAAGCTTCAGGTAAAAAAGCTTCAAGTGTTTTTGGTTTTGGTTTTTTTTTGTGGGGGGGGGTGTGCAGGGGAGGGGGTAGAGATCCTACACTGGATCATACCCAAGTTAGTTAAATAATTAATGTAACTATAGCCTTACCTGGAACCCTGGATCTCAAGAAATAGAGAAACTTCCCATTCTTGGAGTGCATGATGGCTCTCTTAATGAACTCCACCACTGATTGACAGCGATCCTCAAACTTGGGATGACACCACAGGCTGAAGGTTCCTGCCATGGAAAGTTAAGGAGAGGTAAAGATGCAAAACTTACTTCGAAAAGATCTGAGAGGCTGGCTTGAACATTTTAATGATTCTCACTTCTGGGAGGGTAGTTTTTAGTCAAGCTGAGTCAGACAAAGGTCCCTGTTCCTGCTTGTTCCACAACTAATGGAAAGATGTTGCCTTTAATAAGACATAAATTAGGTCTTACAAGGTTTTTGTTAAACAATAATAAATTCAAGTCAGAAAAAGAGATATGAATAGATTTTGCTGGCTATGAACATGAATCTTTAAACCACAGACCATAAAGAAAAGACTGCTATAGCAAAAGCAAGTTTAAATGACATACCCTCAAAAATACCTAAGTCTTCAAGTATGCATGGAATAGTCCAGGAAAGACAAGGATAGCAGTTTTGTGGGTCTCACTCATTCATATGTGTGTTAGGCACAAAAATCAAATTCTAAGTCTTTTCTTCCGTAACTTCTAAAATCCCACGCTCCAACTTGTTACAAAGATCCCACCCCAAACTTTAGAATCCTGAAGGCAAAAGGGAATCTGAACTCCCATGACTTAAAAAAAACAACAACAAAAAAACTCCAACAACTAAAGCACTAAATCCAAAGGAGTCACAAAAGGGATACTAATCACTCAAGAGAACTATAGATTTGAGTCTCCCTAACTACTCTCACAGGATCACTTAAAAAGACGAAGACAAATGTTCCACTGCAAGCTGGCAACTGAAAGGCCCACAGGCTTCTATTAAAAATTCCATTTATTCAAGGAAGAAAAGTCCCTTTGAACAAAAAGTAACTGGAGAACCATTTGAAAACGCCCTCCCATTCCTGGCATCTCACCTATCAGGAACCTAGAGGTCAAGCATTTATTCATCATTTCCATGGCCTAGTCACATCATTTTAATAGGTTTATAAAAGCACTTCACTCTTAAATGCTTTGTTTTCTTTGTTTGTTTGTTTGATTTTTGTTTTTAGAAACAGCAGGAAAACAGGCAGCAGTCTACCCCACAGTTCTCTAATTCTCAGGTCTTTGGACTGAAGTTCCTTTCTCTTCATGCATCTCGAAAGCAGAGGTGGAGGGGCTTCCCTGGTGGTGCAGTGGCTAAGAATCCGCCTGCCAATGCAGGAGACACGGGTTTGAGCCCTGGTCTGGGAAGATCCCACATGCCACAGAGCAACTAAGCCCGTGCACCATAACTACTGAGCCTGCGCTCTAGAGCTCACGAGGCACAACTACTGAGCTCGTGTGCCACAACTACTGAAGCCTGTGCACCTAGAGACTGTGCTCCGCAACAAGAGAAGCCACCACAATGAGAAGCCCATGCACCACAATGAAGAGTAGCCCCTGCTCGCTACAACAAGAGAAAAGCCCCACGCGTGGCAATGCAGACCCAACGCAGGCAAAAATAAATAAATAAGAAAGCAGAGATGGGGGCAGAGGAAACCATGGACAAAGCTATGCTGACCTAAACAGGTACTTCCTGTCTAACAAGAGAAGCAAACCAAATAAATCCCGCAGAACATGGCTGAGAGCAGCAGAGAGCCAGTGGTGCCTGAGAAGAGCATGAAAGAGCCCCTTACTTGAAATTCAATATCTAATATAGCTCATTTGAAGTTGATTACATGTGGGAAGAGTATGAGGGATAGGGGGGCAAGTCCCTGAAACTCCCCAGAGTTCTCCACACTTTTTAAATTTGTAGCATATTACAAATTTTTGACAAAGGATGTATTAGCCAGCCCTACCACCAATGACCATCACAAGTTTGTGGCCCAAGTCAAATACAGAATGCCCATGCAGACTGCAGTGGTGAACAAGTCAGCTTCTCGACATCACTGCAATATTAAGCACAACCGGACCACAGCGGGGGAAGTACTGCCAGGAAGAAGGACAGACAGTCTAAAGTACGTTGATCCCACAAACTCTCAGAGCTCTGATGACTATTTCCTATGAGACTACAGAGCTGACCAAAAGAAGACATAATTGTCACCATGCTGCCTGGCAAGAAGAGCTGATGTGACTTCCAGGCAAAGAAATTCAGAACAGAACAGTCACAGGATCAACAAATTCTCCTCTTTGTATATATGATTTAATAGTAAATATCTCTAGATGGTAAGTTTAATTATAAACCAAAGTCTGGAAGAATGTGTCTAATGGTCCTAGGTTATTTCTTCCTTCTACCAAGAGAGTTTTACCGGCTTTGTTCTGTTCTTCTTCAGACTCTCCAATTTAGTAGACAAGATGCTGAGAATACTTTTAAATGGCACCCTTAGGCTCCTCCCAACCCCCACCAACATTTCTTCCAGTGATCGAAACCAGTGCCCATATCAATATTCAATTGAGTCTACGAGATTTTCCTCCCCATTCACAGTTCCATTTCTATGAATCCTTCCAATGAAAAAGTCAGATAGCAAAGGTAGGAAAAGGCAAAGGGGGAAGAAGGCTTCCTTCAAATGCCAGCACCTCTCACCTCTGTAGTGCTCCATTCTGGTGTGATGGGTGATACCCTGTGATCGGAAACTGAGGCTCAGGATATAACGAGGATCAGAGCTGTCTCGTACCAGGAAAGAACCATCAGGCTTGCCTTTCAGCTTCATCTCTGCATCTTCCCAATTCATCGGCCCCCAATACCAACCACACTATCAAAGAAGCGGTCAAGTAGTTAACAGAACAGAGAAATGTCAAAGTTTTCAGCACAATTTCTCTTACACAAGAACCCCGTTTCCAAAACACTGCAATGGGTAAAAGCTGCTAGGAGTGTCCCAACCATTAGCAATGAACACCAGGTTCATCACACTTTTAGGCCTCCAAAGTAACAGAAAAATAATTTTACAATTCCATTACCAAGGCCCTACAAAGAAGAGAAGAGCGACCTGGGTTAACTAGGTAAACATTTCTCCATCATGTTCAGATTTTTTTTTTCAGATTCAATTTTACAACATCTCTTATAGAACTAATAATAGCAGCATATTGTTTTGTCACTGTAAATACAGAGACAAGGAAACTACTCTTCCTCTAAAAATAATAAAAGGGGAGCTGGAACAGAATTAGGAGAATGCAAGAGGAGGCACCACTTACCTTCTCCAGCTCTCGAAGGCTGGCTGCAAAGCTGCTTGAGTCGGGCCGGTAGAGGGGACACTGGAGGGGTGGCGGGGGTTGGCTGTGCAGGGATTCGGCTGCTCGGAGGGGAGCAATCCGGGGAAACGCATCTGCAGGGTAAGAGAGTGGCGGTCACTTGTCGACCCTCATTGTTCCCAACCTCAAGTAGACCGTCCCCCCAAAACAAAGAGGCTAACTGAAGAGGGGCAAGGCATTAGAAGATAAGCTGGAAAGGGTGGAAGCCACAGCAGTGGGGAAGAGGTGGATGGGCTGGGACAAAAAGCTGTGTGGGCTCGTGTAAGCTGTGAAGGATGGGTGGGGGCATTTAACCCCAGGAAAGGGGTAAGGAGCAGCTCACTAACCTGACTAAGGTGACTACTTCAGGGCCTTCACCAGCCTAGAGCGATTCCAACTTCTCCCACCTCGAGGTGAAGTGCCAGTAAAGCAGCCTTGGAAATAGTGACTCGCTTACTTGCCCGGGAAGAGCAATGATTTTGCCAGGCAAGTAGATTTTGCCAGGTGAGTAGAAAAGAATTCATTTCATTCATTTTATTCCTTGGGTACTGGAGACTGGCAAAGCAGGTATGGGCTACTGAATGCTTGGTACTTATTTACAAGGCTGCAGTAAATGCTAAAAGCTTAGAAAAACCACAGAACTTTGAAAACCAGCAACATATTAAACCTCCTCCCTCTACTAAAATTAAGGCAGTTTCCTAAATGATACTGACTCAAAGACTGCAAAACAGTTTCAGCAGCAAAGAGACAAAAATATCCAATAGTCTTTTATCTCTACCAAAAATCAGATTCACCTCCATAAAGAAAACGGGTTAGAAAAACCAGTTCTTGGCCTCATTTCCAAGGAGCTCTGGTCCAGCCAAGGGGATACAATTTAAGCTTTCTCATAAATTCTGTTATTTCCATAAATAAATTTCTCCCATCCTTCAGAAGTATATCACTTGGTACTCCCCACTCTTGCAAGTCCTGCGTCTAGGCTAAGCTAACCTGGGGCATGAGGTGGAGGAGGCGGAGGTAGGGGGAAAGACTGCAGGGAAGACCCCATCGGAGCCACAAGGACAGATGTAGGCAGCGTCCCACTGATATCATCTAGAAGAGAGAACAAAAGCAAGAGGTTCAGAAATATGGGCACAGAATGAGCAAGGTGAAGGCAGAGGAGAGGGAGAAGGATCATCAGGCTGCCCTCTGGGGCAAGGTGGCCTGACCTTCACCCTGTCTTTTTGCACACAGGGCAACAATCATCTTAATCTGGTTTCCTTGGCTTGAAAGCAGGAAAGTAAGGATATCCCTAAAGCTGCCCACTAGCAGTAGATTCAGAGCAAGATAAATACCCTTTATAAAGAAATAAAGATCGAATCCATATATGGACAGTAGATGTTATAGCATGCAGGTAAGAGACCCATTTAACCACTTCGGGAGAGGACAGGGGTGCTGAGAAAGGGACAAGAAATAATTGGGCCATCAACAGAAGCCCAGGAGCTTGTTTGGCTCCTGGCAAGGAACAACAGGTCCATAGAGCTCACCCTCCCACTAGGGCAAGAAGACAGAGAGGGGAGGAAACTATACCTAGGAGGCTGAGGCTTCTTCTTGGAGGAGGAGGGGGAGTTGGAGGGTGTGGAGAGGTCAGGCCCCGCTGAGAGATGTCCACGTCCACAAGTGACACTGTTTCACCTGAGGGATTCATGGAGCAAGCACGTTACAGTAGCACCTTGCCCAAAGCCGAGGCCAGGAAGCAAAGGGAAACAAAGGGCAAGCAAGGGAGGCTAGAGAGGTCCATGGCTCTCAGAAAGCTCAAAATCTAATGCTCCTTGGCTGGAATCCCACCCCCCGCCCAAAAAAACCACCTGAGAAGTCAATTTTAAGTTCCATCATTCCTTAACCCTGTTAAAGATCAAGGATATTTAAGACACAAAAACATGGGATTGACAGTTGAAAAGCCAACTAATCCTGGCTCTGCCACTGAGGATATAACCTTGAATAAGAGGTCTTCTTTATTCAAATAGAACCCACACCACTTATTTTTTACAGATTTGTATACCAATTTTTGCCTCGGAGAGCAAGGCAAGCAGCTTGTTACAAGCCCAAATGGACATGGAAAGCAAGTGCCATTAAAATGTAAGAACTGTTAAGCTGAATGCAGATAAAGGTCCCAATGTTAGCTCTACCTTCTTCCTAAATGGCTTTCCACATCTAGGTTTTCCAGGATATTCACTCATAAGAGAACCAACCATTTCAGATATCCATTAATTCCTAATAGTTGAGGCTGCAAAGGCCGAAAAGTGCATTTACAACCCTAATAATTAACTACTTCCTCAGTCAGCCAAAAGTCAGGCACATGGTTTCCTTACTTCCCAGCATGTCACGCAGTTCTGTTCTCTGCCATATACACTCCTTCTTGCCACCCAACCCCGTCTAACCTCTCTCCACTTGAATCACCAGAGAACGAAGGGTATTTTATCAACAAAAGGTTGACAGCCAAGAATAAGTTTGTTTTGGTAGGTCTGATCCACAACTCAGAATTTGGGATTTCTGTAATTTGGCCCTTAGGGTGTTATTTCCAACACCTTCTTCTTATTTGGGAAGCTGAATTACCCCTCAGCTAGAATTTTAATGTTTCCCAGTTAAGAAAATGAGGTAACAAATATCTCTAAAAGGCCAGAAGCTGGGTTTTCAGAATCTAATATGGTTTTTTTTAACAAAGGTCTTGAACACTAATTAAGATAAGCAGAAAAGCTCTTCCAAAAGTCATCAGTGGAAGTTCTAGGAACTCATCACACAGCTTAATGACTGAGGGCCTAGCTGCCCAGAGCAATGCAATGAGCCCAGGTTTCCTGAAGGGTCAGAGGTCTGGATTGTATGCACTTAAAGGATGTAATTCAAGAGAGCTAAGGCTCTTTGAAATAAGAATGTGGAACCTGAAACTACAAATGTGGGTTTCATTACTTTAAAAGGGAAACAACTACTAACTAGAAAGACATTCTGCTACAGGATAAGATCCTTTAATTCGTTGCTTGGGATAAGAACACAGGGGATATGAACAGAGGACCTCCTTCTCCACCTGTGCCTAGTGCAGGCACCAACTCACCTGTCCTGACAGCTCACAGCAGTCTACCCAGTGATGGGGGTTCCACTAGCCGGCTTAACGTTTTCCTGGAAATGTCCAGTCCCAGATCAGAATTCTTGCAATCATCTTTTTTGAGGGACACAGTATCCAAAAGAGTTTGAAATTGGGATTCGGTTTAAAGGCTTCTCAGCCATGCCCAGTGAAGAGCACTCAGTTTCTGAGATTTGAGGCTGTGAGCTCCAGACTTCCTTTTCTACAGCTCATTCAAGCAGGAGCTTCACACCTGACTCACAAAACAAAAGGTCTCCCTCTCAGAAAAAGTCCCCCTTTAAAGGAGAAGGCAAAAGGACATTTGACCGCTTTCCTACTTTAGCAACTGTGTTCCCTGCTGCAAGAGGAGAGACTTAAATTAGATCCAGTGAAGAACTCTTTAACAGCTGCAAGAACTGCTAGCCCCTAGAATGGGTAAGACAAGGGTTCATGTGATCCCCTTTGCCCAAAGTCTTTAAAAATAGACCAGATCATCATGGATCATGGTTATTAGATAATCCATGAACTCCCTTGGAAGCAGGGACAGGAACTGTATGACTTTTGGGGAGTCCTTTATGCGTTATGAGCCTATAAATTTGTAATTTCTACTTTTAATTTATATGTGATGACCCTGAACTAAAGCCTGCATAACTGCCAGGGCCACGTAATTACCAGCATGCAGTCTCTACCTCAAACTATAAAACATCCAAAGTCAAGAATACATTTCACACCATAAAAATAGCCTCACCCCAAACCCAGCAGGCACGAAATGAAGAAAATAACTGCAGACATGCTTGAAGCTCCCTCTGAGATGCATCTGCAAGTGTTTCCTGACTCGTCTCAGAACACTCGTGCTTTCAGATGTCAGAAGAAAAAGAAAGAGATCACCCTTACCTGTGAACAGGGGGCTGAAGGAGACTGGAGAAAAGGCACTTTGAGTTCTTGTCAACCTGGGTTTCCTGAGGGGTGAGAAGCACACAGAGAATGAGGTGCGGAATGAACACACATTCATTTAAATCACTGCAACAGCAACAACAGTAACAAAAAATCACTGCAACACTCAATTCCAGATGCACCAAAAAACAAAGCAAACCCTAGTCGTTGTCAGCCACACTTTTGTAATAAAGCCTAAAATTTAAAGGGGGAGAATAAAACAATTAAGGCAATTCCTAAATAGATTTGGCTACAGAATTCAGCAGCCTACAAAGCAATAAGAAATCTCTTTGGAGCTTTCCATACCCATCACATTAAAAGACTAAAACACCTTGAGTGGTAATTAGTAAGTCCATTTCTAGAAGAAGCAAGTCGGACACAGAGTTGATTTTCACATGGGAGCCAAGAAAAAGGTTCTTGACCTGAACAGGTGCCACCTCAGAGCACCAGCTTTCCCTCTGGGCCTGCTCCTAGGAGCAGGAAGTCCCAAAATGAATCAGGCAAGATTTTTGGACTTGAGAACAGCACTACAGGATACACATGCAATCTTCAACCAGTAAGAACTCTGATTTTTGCAAAATGCCTCCAAGCCATAGGTCAAAACCAAAGGGGAGCCTCTTCAAGTTAGGAGCTCTGCCTGGCACCCAAAGAAGACGGCCTCTTCCCCTTTGAGAGCTGCCAGTCACAGCTCTCCCCCCAGGACTGCTCCTGATACTGCTCCCAAACCAGCTGGAAAACCCAGATCTCCTGTGAAGACACACCAATTTCAACTGGCTTTTGGGCGAGAAATGAAAGAAATCCAAAAGACTCTGACAAAGACTTTCTGGCTAGAAATGTGCTGAGCTCAAAAAACTCACCTCAGAATGACTGAATTGACTAAAAGGGAAAGAAGTTGAGGAGGTGATGAAAATATGCTATACCTTGATTATGGCAGAGGTTATGATGTTGACATCTGCCAAAATTAATAGAACTGAGCAACTTTAAAAAGGTGAATTTTAGGTGGTATATAAATGATATGTCAACAAATCAGGCTTAAAAAAAAAATTCTACCACCAAATTAAATGCCTGACTCCACACCTTGTAGCTGGCTCACTTTCCAAAATTACTCTCACCCAAAGGTTGAAATAAAACTTCAACTTCACCAATAGACAGGGGCAGAAGCAAAGAAAATCCAAAATGAAATCCTATTTTAAAATATTTGACTTTGGAAGATCTTTATTCATTTATGTTTTAACAGAGATGTCTGCGCTTCTCAGAACTCACTTCAAACAGAATTTCAAAACCATACTGTGAAGACCTTACTCAGAAACAGCCAAAATGCCGGAATCCCTCTCCTGACCTATCTCACACGCCCTCTGCAGCCGCCTCCATGATGAGACTTGAGAAGTCTAATGATGGTGCCCACTGTCAACACCCCGCCCACAGCACACACAGGAGAGGTGGCTACATCAGAACAAGACACAAGCACACACAGTCCCTCTATTTATAAAAGTTGCTCATGGCAGTCTGCAGCTTAGTTGCAACACTCCAGAGAGCTGGAATGGAAAGTTAATTCCACTGGACATTAACTTTAAGACTGAAGAGCTTTCAAGCTGATTTTTATTCAGTAACTTGTGGATACAACATTAAACTCAGCAAGCAGAAACCTAAAGCACTGGCCTTTCGAAGGGTTCACACCTCAGCCATTTGGCAGTTTGCCTCTTTTCAAAGGAAGCTGCGTTACTCTGCCATCTGCCCATACTGGGGACGAGCCTCCTCAGTGCCAAGCACTGAAGAACAGCAGTACCCAAACGCACACATCTTGCGGAGGCCTTCTCACTCCAGCTCATCTTCTCCCCGCCCCTGGCATTTTGAAGAAAATCATAGTTTCTAGGATCTAGAAAAAGAAATACATACGACTCTAAACCCAGGCAGAGCCATTTGAGAGCCCTAGGATGGCTTTTTCTGGCAAATAAGGAAGGTTAAAGAAGTAGAAGGTCTAAGAGGCTGAAAGGCTAATAATAAATATGAGTGCTTCCTTCTCTCTTTGGGGAGATACTGTCTAACTGAAAATCCAAAACAGTTTCTGTCTCAAGGATCCTGAGAGCATTCTAATGGCAGTCATTCATGAAAAGACCAATCTAGACAACTATAAAAAACAAAGCAAGGGAATGATGAACATAAAATTGAGGATGGTGGTTGGTTACGTGGGGGAGGGCGAGATGTAATCAGGAAGTAACACACAGGGGTCTTCAAAGGTACTGATAACATTCTATTTTTTAAGCTTAGTGATGATTACCCAGGTACACATTTCATTATTATTGTACATACACTTTATACATCTCTTCTTGTATATATGAAACATTTAAAATGATAACCATTCTAAGCTGGATGTGCTGTTTTTTGGAGAGCAACATGAATGACACAGCTCCAGATAACATTTTTAACTAACCCTTCTATACTACATTCCCATATTATTCTATTCCTCCCCAGACCACCTTGACAAGCATTAGGGTACAAAGTTAAGCCACTGTAACTCTGCCAGTGGGCCACTTGCATCTTAGCAGCAGAAAAACCTGACGGGTGGTGTGGGGTAGGACTTGGTGGGCTATGCCTCAGATGGCAGAACAAGACAGGGGCAGCAGAAGACCTTAGGTAAAGGTCTTCTCTGAGGCAAGTAGTCCTTTGTGTCAGCTATGCACTGCTTGTGCTGCAGGTAACAGAGATAGGATGCTTCTGTCCATTTCCACTCTGCAAATTACTAACTGTATGGCAACAGATCTGTGGGATAAAAGGAGTTCATTAGACTAGACAGGCTGACAACACACTGATATAACCACTGGCCACTTTTCAAATTCCTTGAAGCCTAAAATATAAACAATGAAATAGTAATGCTTTCCCTCTCTTGTCCATAAATCCCCTCTATGGTGTCCTAAGACTTACACATGTCCTTTTCTAACTTCTAAAGTAGGATGTCCAAATATCAGGTTTTGCGGCCACAATTTACCTCTGCCCCTGCTAACGCACACAGTGCCAAGTCAGCCAGCCTCTGCCATTTCCAACACATCATAAGCCAGTGTCTGCTCTTGAGCTACAGGCACAAAAACCACATGTTCATTTTTAGTTCCAATACACAGACATCTGTGCAACAAGGTCAGATCTGAAACTCCACCATAAACCAACTAAAGAACCTATGGAGGGAACGTCCAGAGAAAAGCCCAGAGGTGTAGCCCAAGGTCTAAAACCTTAGGAATGATGTCAGTGGACAAAATGTTAAGAAGTAAAAGACACAAGACTCAAATGGACAGAGATTTCTGAAGCCAGGCTGCTCATTCCAAAAGAGAGCTTGTCAACCACAACCACTTCATGGAAAAATAGTTAAAAAGATCAACAGAATATGGACCCAAAACCGAAACATAAAGTCAGACCCTCCTTGGGACTTCCCTGGTGGCACAGTGGTTAAGAATCTGCCTGCCAATTCAGGGGACACGGGTTCGAGCCCTGGTCCTGGAAGATCCCACATGCTGCCAACTAAGCCCGTGCGCCACAACTACTGAGCCTACGCACTGAGCTCTGAGAAGCCCACACACCACAACAAAGAGTGCCCACTCTCCACAACTAGAGAAAGCCTGCACGCAGCAATGAAGACCCAATGCAGCCAATAAATAAATAATTTTAAAAATAAAAACACTTGGAGTTTAAAAAAAAAAAAATCAGACCCTCCTCACCACACCATAAAATCATTTTGCTCTCAGCATGTCATGCTCTTTCTCAAAAAGACCCCTTAGACCTGAAGACCCAGGAAAACAGAGAAAAGGGTTTCTCATGTCTGCCAGGTCTGTCCACAACAGCAGGGCCCCAAATTGATGCCAAGGGAGCCTGCCTCTCTTTCCAGAATTGAATCTTTCTTCCCAGATAGGAAACCACTACAGAACTGTTCTCCATTTTTCCACCTCACAACTATGAAGACTGCCAGTAATATCCTCAACTGGTAAGAAAAAAACAAACCTTGAGAAATGAACAAGGTACCCATTTCCAACCAAGTATGTATTATGTGATGATTCAAAAAAGTAAGATCAAATGCTATTTCTCACCAAACACAAAGGAAGACAATCAGCTAAACATATGTGAAACAGACAAGGGAACTTCACTGGTTTTCCTGAAATAGCAATCGTATATAACACTGAAGCCCACGGGCATCAAGCCCAGCTCTCTGAATCCCAACATATGTGTGTTACATGGCCTAGCCCAGTTCTTCAGAACAGAAACCTGATTAGCTGGTGGGCCCATTTCTTCCTTCACTTCAAAAGAGTTACCTAAGCTGGGCTTCCCTGGTGGCACAGTGGTTGAGAGTCCGCCTGCCGATGCAGGGGACACGGGTTCATGCCCCGGTCTGGGAAGATCCCACATGCCGCGGAGCGGCTGGGCCCGTGAGCCATGGCCGCTGAGCCTGCGCGTCCGGAGCCTGGGCTCCGGAGGGGGAAAGCCAAAAAAGTGAGAGGCCCACGTAACAAAAAAAAAAAAAAAAAAAGAGTTACCTAAGCTAACTCATACTAGACCTAGACTCTGTATATCCAGGAAGGTCAACTTAGCAGACTCTAAAGCATCTGAAAGGAACTAAAGTTTGCTTAATGTTAAAATATGTAAACTGTTAAGCCTTATTAATGATTGTAGGGGGACTTCCCTGGAGGTCCAGTGGTTAAGACTCAGTGTTTCGGGCTTCCCTGGTGGCGCAGTGGTTAAGAATCCACCCGCCAATACAGGGGACATGGGCTCGAGCACTGGTCTGGAAAGATCCCACATGCCGTGGAGCAACTAAGCCTGTGTGCCACAACTACTGAGCCTGTGATCTAGAGCCTGTGAGCCACAACTACTGAACCTGTGCGCCACAACTACTGAAGCCCGCACGCCTAGAGCCCATGCTCCGCAACAAGAGAAGCCACCACAATGAGAAGCCCGTGCACCGCAACAAAGAGTAGCCCCCACTTGCCGCAACTAGAGAAAGCCCATGCGCAGCAATGAAGACCCAACGCAGCCAAAAAAAGAAAAAAGAATCCTCCTGCCAATGCAGGAGACACGGGTTCGAGCCCTGGTCTGGGAAGATCCCACGTGCCACAGAGCAACTAAGCCCATGTGCCACAACTACTGAGCCTGCGTTCTAGAGCCCGTGAGCCACAACTACTGAGCCTGCGTGCCACAACTACTGAAGCCCATGTGTCTATAGCCCGTGCTCCGCAACAAGAGAAGCCACCGCAATGAGAAGCCAGCACACCACAACGAAGAGCAGCCTCCGCTCGCCGCAACTAAAGAAAGCCCGCACGCAGCAACGAAGAGCCAGCGCAGCCATACATACATACGTACAAACATACATAAATAAAAAGACTCTGCGCTTCCATCACAGTGGGCGCAGGTTCTATCCCTGGTGAGGGAACTAAGATCCCACATGCCGTGCGGCATGGCCAAAAAAATAAATTAATTAAATTAAATTAAAAAATGATTGTAGGAGGTACTTTCTAGTAATAGCTGTGGGGAAGGTAAATGCTGAGAAGAGCAAAGAGAATCATGCCCAGAGGTTACTGTAAAAGCCCCAAATTATACAGCAAAGACTGCAGAGACTCGTAATTAACTCCAACAATAAGGCAGGCATATACCTTCTGGCAAAAGACTGACATTTCTCATGGCTTCCAGGTCCTACCAATCAAAACAAGAGCACAAGCTAAAAATCCAAACTTATCCTTCCTCCCAACAGGGCGGACTTACTAAGGAGGTGCAGATCCATAGAAATCACAACTACCCTGGCCAGACTTATCAAGCTTCTCACAGCTGCGAGGCTGCCAGCAAGACTGGCACATAGTAAGCTGTGGAGAAGCTAACAAGAAAATCTAACAGCACCAAATCCTAAGCACTAAAAAAAAAAATCACCAGTTCAATCTTACTACTTCTCCTCCAAAAGCACAAAATATTCCATCTCAATTTCTCTTGTCTTCACTCTATTCCTATAAGGACAGGAACAAGACAGGAATCACTCCCATTTTACAGATTAAAAAACGGGGGAAGTATGAAGAAGACAAAATTGGCCCGCATCCCACAGCTGATGCTGGAGTCCTACATGGAATCTAAATGTTCACATTCCCTGTACAACATGCTGCCTCCTAACAGCAGTCAACCAAACGTTCATACATGAATACCTAGCTCTTCTCCAATTCATCAGAAAAAGCTCTTGGACCAAAAAATGTAATTCTCCAGTGCCCTGAACTAAGCTTCTTTGCAGAGCTACAGCCCAATTTGCTCTGCAGTAGAAATCTGTATTGTGCTTAGTGTGAGGGTTGGTCACAGAGCAGCCAATGGCCATTAAATTCTGCTTCCAAATGCAAAAAACCGTATAATGTTATATGCCTTTTCCTCCTCCTAATCTATTAGACGTAGCAGCTAATTTCACGCCACACCTCCTATTTGGCGTCTCTGGAATCTTAGACCAAGTCCTGGTCAATATGGAACAAAGGCAAGACAAACCACAAGAAAACTAGCAATCTATCCTATGTCATTACCCACAGCTTCAATCCTGCCCTCCCCCCAGCTGATGAAAATTTCATCTACACTGGTTACATGGAGCATGGAACGCAGAGCCTACCATGAAATAGCTGCTTCAACAGCCACACTGTTCCAGACCTGAGCTCCCAGCGTGAGTTCATTGGGAGGCAAATGTGGAAACATACATCTACCTGAAGGGGCAACACGCATCAACCTACTGATTTCCTCAGGAAGTCTGGGTTTGGTCTGATCCCCAAGATAAGCCCTCGGCCCAGCTGTTCAGAAAAGGCAACAAAGTCAAACTGACCAAGGGAATTCCCTGGCGGTCCAGGGGTTAGGACTCTGCACTTCCACTGCAGGGGGCACAGGTTCCATCCCTGGTCAGGGAACTGAGATTCCCCCGTGCCACATGGCAAAAACAAAAAGAAACAAACAAACAAAAAAATTGACCCCACACCTTCCTCTTGAAGTACAAGTTCCTTTGAAAGGATGAGTGGTTTCCAGTCCAGATCACACCTTAGGACCGACTAGGGAGCTTTTTAAAAATTCAGTCTTGGCCCTCTGATCATTTCCCAAAGCTCCCCACGTGATTCTGGTTAACAGTAGTTCTCAATGTTTTTCAGCCTTGGGTTGTGGCTGCCAGTGCATCTCATGAATCCATCACATGAGCTGCATCAAAACCAATTCCAATCTTTCTAAGAACCCACTCAACAGTGCAAACCACAATGGCAGTTACCACAAGGGAAGTCTCATTTCATTGACACAAAAGTTGACAGCTTTTCTAAACCAATGTACAAATCTAACACTGGATATCTGAGAGCCGTCCACCCTTCAGAAATGCAGGAAAAAAATGTCTAAGTTTGGAATTTTCATCAATTGGGCTAGAACTCATGTACTAATGTACATGAGTATACCTCGTACTTAGACTTCTCATGTGGGTTTGAGGGCAAGGCTATTTTCTATTCTCACAGTGGTCAGCATACAGGCTTGAGATACCAAGTATATCTAAGAAACCAACCAAGAAAACATTAAAACTTTGAACAGAGATGCCCAACTGACTGCTGGCCTACAACTACACAAGTCTGTCACATCACCTGCACGTGTGAATGTGAAGGGGGTGCTGGTACACAGAAAGAATAAGCAAGGTGGTCAGACACAACACCAACTTTTTGCCCCAAAGGCTACACCTTTCCATCAAGCCCCCTGCCAGGGGTAATGGTAGACAGACACCTTGGAAAAACTTTAAAAGCTGGGACAGGGTGGGCGTGGGGGGGGATGGTTTGGAATCATCGCCCAACTAGAGAGATGCTAACCAGCTGATAAGTGTCACCGCGGGAGTGAATTCTTAGAGTGAAGGCTGCTCCCACAATCAGCTCTAACCTAATGGGCAATGTCACCACCTTTCACCCCAAGTCTCCGCCTCCTTATGAAGGCCATACCTTAAGAATTGTCAGGATCGTGTTAGCAGTAGAATAAAAGGGAAATGAAACAAGAAAAGGAAGTCGGTCAGCCAGCCCCACCGCCCCCCAGCCGGTCTCACCTCCCCGCGTCCAGCTCCCGGCCCGCAAAGCCTCCCACGTCTGTCAGGCTCGCAGCCGAAGCACCCAGCTCTCCGGAAGGCCTCTTGCCGGCCCCATCCCCACCGCCGGAGCCACCGTTGCAGCTCTTCGTGCGGAAGAGGCGACTGAGGCGGACTTTGAGGGAGCTCTTCCGAGAAGGGCCCGCGAGCGGCCGGAGGGGCCCAGGAGGAGGCGGGGGTGGGGGAGGTTGCTGCTGCTCCCCTCTACTCAAGCGCCCTGGAGGGACCAAGTCCTGCACCAGGAAGGGCACCGGGGGTAATTCAGGGCCCGGGGGCTGCAGAAGAAGCCGGCCGCCCCCTCCTCCTCCGCGGCCCGGGCTGCTGAGCTCCTCTTCCGAGCAGCTGTTAGTCTCCAGGCTCTCGGCCTCCGACTCCAAGCCTTCCAGGACCAGCAGCGCGTCGCTCGTTTCCGTGGGGTCCTCCCCGGCCTGCGGGGCGGCAGCAGGCGGCTGGGGCTGCGGAGGGGGCGGCTGCGGGGGGCACGGGCACGGGCAGCAACCACCGCCGACCGTCTTGACCCCGGGCCCCGCAGGCTGCCCGAGCCCCAGAGCCGCCAACTGCGCCTCTAGTCCAGCCGCCGGGCCCCAGGTCCGCTCGAGCGCCAACCCCGGCGGCAGGGCCTTGGGGTCCAGGGCACAGCGGTGCCGAGGACACAGCAGTTCCGAGGGTCCCGGCTCCCGGGCCGCCTCCGCGTCCTCCTCCTCCGGCGGCCGACCCACGTTGCGGAACACCATCAGCTGAGGCGGCCGGGAGCCCCGCGGGCCCGGCCGCGCGAGGAAGGGTGGCGGCGCGGGGCCATGGCCCGGAGGCGGCGGCGGCGGGCCTGGCTCGGGGGCCGCCTCTCCATAGCCGAGCAGGCGGCTCAGGACGCGGTACGAAGCGGCCGCCGCCGCCGCCTCACCATCCCGGAGCTCGGCCCCCTGCATCGGGGAGAGGGAAGGAGGGCGGGCGGCTGGGAGCCGGGCTGGGGTGGGGACTAGGCCGGGCCCCTCCGGAGCCCCGCCCGCCGCGGCCCCCGGAACGACAGTGCTAACGGCCGCCGCGGCCTCTGCCTCATAGAGGGGGCGGGGGGCGCGCGGAGCCCAGCGCGAGCCCACCCTGCGCGGCGCCGCCGAGCACCGCCCCCAATGCGTCACTTCCGGGTGATGGTGGCCGCGCCTTCTCCCCTGGTCGTGCTCGCGCCGGCCTCTCCGAAAAGTGACGTTACGCGGGGCCGGGGCCTGGGCCGCTATTGGCCGTGAGCTGCTTCTCGCCTAGCCCTTAGTCCGGTACCCCGACCCTGGTTTTTCACTTCCCGGGCCCTCTGGCCGAAGCCACCCTTCGGGATAAGGTGGGGTGGCCCTGGAAAGCTTGGTCTAGTCCTGGGAGAGAGCTGCTGGCCTTGGGAGGGCAGTACCTTTGGCTCTGGTCCCGCCTATGCCGCTTGCGATGTGTGACAGTGGCCAAGTCGTTTGTTCATTGACTAACTGTATCCCCGCCTTGGCATCCAGTGAATATTTATGGAATGACACATGAATAACATGTTCTAGACCCAATGCTGTGCTGATAAATGTTGAACAGCCGACTGTCGGGAGAAAAGGGGAATGTATGCACATATATAGGTACATAAGGATGTGTAGCACAGAATTTACAAATAATAGTGTACATTTGCAGATTCCTCATAACTAATTTATTCTAACAATGCTTTCACTGATTTTTGCCCAACTGCTGTATGGGTAGCCAACCCGTGGTTTCAGTTGACCAGGGAATGTAATCGCGACATGGATGTTGGTTGATGTCCTCTGTGTCAATGTAAGAGGAAAGTGAATAAACAAGACGTCTTACCTGTCAATTATGGGAGCGACTTCTTTGCTGAATAAGAAAACAATTTTCAAATACTGAAAGAATATTTCCTCAAGTTTTGTGCAATACAGAATGTAATGGCTACAAACATAACACATTCACTTAAAATCTGAATTATTTACATTTTCTCATCACTTTCTTAAATCTAGATTATCGACAAAACAATCAAGTCCCTATTCGTATCGTCTGCCGATTTCTCTGGTGTAAATCCTCCCACAAAGGCTGATTTCAATCTACCATCTTGACTTTACTGAACACAGAGCATACGATTATGCAGTAGTTTCATACTATTATGTAGCAGATACAATAACACAAATAACCTCAAGAGCACAGGTAAACAATAATAGTAAAATTATTAGGAAGTGATGAGTTTTGAGAATGTATTACCTTTGTTTTTAATATATTTAATGTTTGTATAATTTTTAACAGTTGGCTGTGTTTAGCAACTGGCTTGTAGGGAATTCCCTGGCAGTCCAGTAGTTAGGACTCTATGCTCTCACTGCTGAAGGCCTGGGTTCAAGCCAAAAAAACCCCCTAAAAACCAACTGGCTTGCAAAATTTATTCCACGCCCCCTGCAGTGGGAGTGCAAAGTCTTAACCACTGGACCACCAGGGAAGTCCCAAAATTTCTGAAATTTTAACAGTTGGCTTTCACAAGCCTGTATGAGCCAGTTCCACAGTACCACTAGACCTCAGTTTTCTCATCTGCAAAATAGGGATAAGGATTGCTGCTTTGCTTACTTGCAGGAATGTTGTGAAGGTCAAGTAAGTTCAAGCTTGTGTAGAGGAGGTGTGACTGGAGGCAGGGAGACCAGTTAGGAAACCATTGCAATCTTCCCATGAAGAGATGTTGAGGAATGCAAAGGATAAGGAGGATCAGCCAGCAGAACTTAGCAACTTTAGTACCTGAAGGTGCATTTAGGGGAAGATGATCCAGGGTCTGCTATGAGTTCTACAGCCAGAGAGAACTTTTCAAAAAATATTTACTTATTTAGCTGCATCAGGTCTTAGTTGCAGCATGTGGGATCCTTAGCCACAGGCATGTGAACTCCTAGCTGCGTCATATGGGATCCAGTTCCCTGACCAAGGATCGAACTCGGGCCCCCTGCATTGGGAGCACGGAGTCTTAGCCACTGGACCACCAGGGAAGTCCCCAGAGAGAACCTTTTAAAATGAATATTCACCAATAGCCTGTGATTATAACCCTTCATGGTTTCCCACTGTTCTTAGGCTAAAGACAAAACTCCTTAAGGAGGCCTATGGGGTCCTGTGTCATCAGACCCCCGCCTCTCTGGTCTCATCTCCCACCAGGCTCCACCTTGTTTTCTCTGCCCTGCTGTTCCACTAGCCCTGTGTCAGGCTCAAAAACATGGCCATTGCATAAGCGATTCCCTTTTCTTTAAAGGCTTTTTCCCTCCCTTTTTGCTTCATAAACTCCTACTCATCCTTCAAATTAAACTTCTCTCTACCTCAGGGAAATCTCCCTGCCTGGGTACTTCCTCCTCACTGAGCTCCAAGACCACTCCTTTGTTGCACTTAATTGCACAGGTGTGATTTGTTATCTATCTGCGAGGTTATTTGATTAAAGTCTGTCTTCCCTATTAAGCTGTTAGATCTGTGAGGGCAGGGGCCTCGTCTGCTTTTTGCCCATCATGGACTCTCCAATGCCAAGGACTGCCTGGCATGGAGTAGGCCCTTGATACATAAGCATGGAACGATTGTTCCATGCTTGTAAGAAGCTCCTGATACAAATTCATCTCTAATTCTGCACAACAGAATTAATAACCTCCCTTGCCCATGAAAAAACTGAAGAATTACTTACCTAAGGTCATACAGTTCAAAAAGGTGAAGTGGAATTCAAAACCAGCTGTGACTCCAAAGATTATATTTTCTACCCTCTCTCCAATACCTTTTAGGTGTTACTTAGGTTTCTGGAGAAAAGAAGAGAAATTGCTATAGGACCATAGCACACCGGAGGCCTAAGAAGACCACCCAAGATCCTGGCTGTCTCTGGAAAACTCTGGCTCCAGAACAGGTTACCCCCACGAATGCAAGGTCTGTAAGCTCCACAGCGCCCTCTGCTGTCCAGCTACTTTCCTGGCCCCAGAGGGAGGCAGACCATGTCTGCCGCCTGGGGTATCTCCACCTGCCCTGAGCACACAGAGGCACAGGGGAACACACACAGGCTCTTCCTAAGGCAGAGCAAGGAATGCTGCCTTTCTCCATTTCCTTAAATGTCCAGACCTGTAGTTCCTGGAAAAAATATTGAAAATTAAGCTCCAAGCAAAGGAAGTGTATCCTTGTATGAGCTGGATTTGTTGGGTGGGTTTTACGTCTACATATACCTGTTTCCTGAGGGCTATATAAGTGATCCCTGCAGTGGTAGAACCCTAGTTTAAAAGGTTTGCAAAGAGCGATTCAGAGAATCTAAACCAGTCTTGAGTTCACTCAATCGTTCAGCAATGGGCTAGGCTTCAGTGATGAATGAGACAGGCATGGTCTCTGCCCCTCTAGAGCTTGCCATCTAGTTTTGAGTCCTAGTCATGCCATTTCCTGGACATATTACCAAGAGCAAATAATTAAACATCTTTGAACCTGTGTTTCATTTGTAAAAATAGGTCAATAATAATCCCCCCTTGATAGAGCTGTTGTAGGGATTAAATGAAAACTTACACGCAAATGCTACAGCACTATTCAAACATAAGTTATTATTATGAAAAGCTTCTTGGGGGAAAAAACAACTGACTATTATGTCTTCACCCAAGGTGTTCTGTTTGCCCTGGACTAACAGTAACCAGTAATAATACCAAGAACGTGGAACGGAGCACTTGCTCACCCCACTCCACCCCCTACCATCCCCCTTTCTGTTGGCACACAGGAATCAGAGAGGCAATGGATGTGTGGATGTGTGATAGAGGTCTGACCCCAGACCACTCGCTGGCTTTGTGGCCTTGAGGAGGTCACTTAGCTGACATTTGGTTTTAGTTTTCATTTCCTTCTCTATTAGAGAAAGGTCTGGGATACAGGCACGCTTAGTTCTGACATCATAGGGATTCTGTGGAGGTTTGTCCTCTAGCCCCCATCTCTTCCTCCACCCCTTACGTTCCCAGTGAAGGTTCCAAAGCAGAACTATTGCTGGCAGAGGCCACCAGTAAAGCAAGAGAAGTTTTTAGCCACCACCACCCAGCCCTCCCTACATAAACTCAGAGATCTGGGACATCAGAGGTTTAAGAAGCGGGGATGGGGGCAAAGTGAGAAGGAGAGAAACTAACAGATAGCACATGCACATGGGGCCAAATCACTGGGCTAGCGATCAGCGATGGGAAAGTGGTGGAAGAGGGAGGGAGAGGAAGGCAGGGGCTTTGTTCCGTGGCCGACTTCAAGAATCCACACCCTTCTGGATCCGAGGAGGCTGCCTCAGGCAGTGCTAACTCTGAGCTTTCCAGTTATTGTGTCCGACAGAGGGAAGGATGTGAGGGGTAAGAAGACCTGGAAGAGCAAGAGAGGTTAGCCATGGTTTTCATGAAGAAAGGAAGAAGACAGGGCTTAGAATGACAAAATGAAGGTGGAAGAAGCAGAAGCAAAACTGTTCATTCTCTTCCCCCCTCCCCACCATGACCCCCTTACTCTGGGCAGTGGTTAACTCTGTGATGCAGGAGAAGGCGGGCTTCCCTGGCTGGGGAGGTGGAGACCTGGTGGAGGCTCCTGCTCTGTCAAGAGCAACAGTGTGGTCCTAGGGAAGTCCCTTCACCTCTCCGGGCTATATATAGTTAGGTCTTCTTGAGGTCTCTAAGGATGAATAACAGGGTGATGGTGGGGGTTTGATGGGGCAGTGTAGGGGAATCAGAGCTCTGGGTTTGAGTCTTAACTCAAATGAAGCAGCTATGTGATCTTGGGTGAGTCTCTGAGCCTCACTGTCTGCATCTGTGAAATGGGGATAAGAATATTCAGCATAGGTGGGTTGGGGAAGAGTCACTGAGATAACGCACATGAAAAACACTTTGTAAACTGCCACAGTCTGTACAAATATCAATTATGGTTCTATTGGGCTCTTTTGGGACTTCCCTGGTGGTCCAGTGGTTAAGACTCTGCACTCTCCATGCAGGGGTCCTGGGTTCAATCCCTGGTCAGGGAATTTGACCCCACGTGCCGCAACCAAGAGGCTGCATGCCGCAGCTAAGACCCGGCGCAGCCAGATAAATACATAAATATATATATTTAAAAAACCCATACTTATTGGGCTCTCTTGCCCACCCCTCGCCAACCCCAATCTCAAATTCCAGCTCAGCAGCATGGTGTCGGGGGTACAGGCAGCTAGAGCAGATTGCCAGGAGCTGCAGCTTGGCCCTTTATCGTGGCCGTCGAAATTGCTGCCCGGAGGCTGAGTGGAGCAGAGGGGTGGAGAGAGGGGCACAGGCTCATCTGCGGTTGCTATGGCGCCCCATCCCGGATTTGCCCATCTCTCCTAATGGAGCAAAGGGCAGAGGGAGGGAGGGAGGAAGAGAGAGAACGGCTGGTCCCTTCTATCTCTCCCTGGAGCAGATATAGGGTGGGGAGTGAGGGGAGGGAGCCTAGATATTGGATAAGAGGGGGAGGGAAGAGTGGTGTGCCAGGATTAAAAGGGTTTGCGATGGGGGGCCACACTGAGAGAGCAGGGAACAGAGCCCTCATGCCTACGTCCAGAAGCCAGCTGATGACATTAAAGAGAAGAAAAAAACAAGTAAGACAGCCTGAGCATGAGAGAGAGGAAGAGAGAAAGCAAGGATCAGAGGCGTGCAAGCAGGCAGCCCCAGACTGCGGCCAGCCTCTGCCTGGGATCTTCTGAACCTCCAATACCCCCGGCAGCCTGGACCCCAGGGTCCCTGAGAGCTGCCCCAAGGATGGGCACCAGGGCAGTGGTCATGCCTCCTCCTGTGTGGGGGCTGCTGAGCTGCTCTTTCCTCTGTGGCTGGGCTCTGGGGGGTCCAAGGCTCCTCCGCTCTCTTCCCGCACTGTCCTCCCAAGTCAAGCCAGGATCTGTACCCATGTGGGTGCCCCCGGAGGGGGCTGAGGCAGCCCTAGCTTTTCTCTACTCTGGAGATGCCCAACAGCTGTTGGGGGCTAACTGCAGTGAGCGCTATGAAGCCCATGGGGCAGGAGCCAGACCAGGGCTCCCCCCAATCCTATGGAGGCCAGCGGGCACCATTACGCAGGCTGCCAATTTCCTCAACATGCTGCTACAAGCCAACGACATCCGGGAGTCCAGTGTGGAGGAGGATGTGGAGTGGTACCAGGCACTGGTCCGCAGCGTGGCCGAGGGGGACCCAAGGGCATACCGGGCTTTGCTGACCTTTAACCCTCCACTGGGGGCCAGCCACCTGCAGCTGGCCCTGCAGGCCACCCGGATGGGGGAGGAGACCATCCTTCAGGACTTGTCCGGAAGCAGGAAGAGCCCAACCGGGGCCCTAGACACCCCTGACCTGCAGAAGCGGGTGCTGACCAACGACCTAGGGAGCCTTGGCAGCCCCAAGTGGCCACAGGGGGATGGATATGTGGGGGACTTGCAGCACGTGAGGCTGTCTCCTCCCTTCCTGGAATGCCAGGAGGGCCGGCTCCGTCCGGGCTGGCTTATCACACTCTCAGCGGCCTTCTATGGACTCAAGCCAGACCTCAGCCCGGAGATCAGGTAAGTGGTTTTTGTGCAGGGTTTGACACTGTTGTGGATTTGTGGGGTGGGGGGCCCAAGTCCAGCCAGCTGTGCATAGGCCATTTGGTATGCACATGTGTGGGGGACACAGATGTGTGTACTTGCATTCAGCTGTGTATATCTGCAGTTGACCCTGGGAATCTGTAACTGTGTGTTAACATATACAGGTGTGTGTATGTACTACATATAAATCACTCCATTTACAAGTAGGTATACACATGTGTGTGTACATATGTGTGGACATAGCTGGGCATAGGTCCTGGCCTCCAGGTCTGAGTAGTGGGTACAAGGCAGGAGAGGGCTTGTTGCGGGAGACAGTGACAATCCATGCACTGGCTTCTCAGAGGAGTCAGATGGGCGCTTCGGGAGTGAAATTCGCTGCTCCCTAGCAATCTAGAGCTGTAAAAGGAGGCTTCTGCAAAGGAAGGAGAACACTTGCGGGGAGGCTTGGCACCATTGCCTTTTCTGCCCAGGAGTTGGCCAGATCCCCAGGGTCACTCCCAATGGCTATATTCTTATATCAAGTCCTGACCCCAGTAGCCTATGATACTCCTCAAATAACTGACTGCCTCCCTCAGCTGGAGTAAAGAGGTGATTGGGAGCCATGATGGGAAGGAGGGAGCAGATGGATAGTGTACCACAAGGCATTCAACAATCAACGTTGTTTTCCCAGCTCTGTGTCCCCATTCATTGTCCCCGGCAGAGTTCCTCTCCTGGCCACAGGCAGCCTGGCTCCTTGCCAGCTCTCTCCCCATTCAGCCCAGAGCAGGGGTTGAGAGCCCTTGGGCCAGGCAGCTCTGACTCTGGGCCCCTCTATTCCATATCTCCTTTGCTGTGATCAATTCAGACCTGGTTTGGGCAGAGTGAGGGGGTGGTTAATAGCTGCACTTTGCGCTTTGCGCGCGCGCGTGCGTGCGTGCGTGTGTGTGTGTGTGTGTGTATATACATGCAGTGGGGAAGTGTGAATATCCCTTTCAGAAAGATCATCAGAGCCGCAGCTCCTGTATGTCTCACCACCTCCCTTTCCCATTGATAGAAATCAAGAAATGCTAGGATGTTGAAACCGTGAGGGATGGGGGGGGTGGGGGCAGGGAAAAACCTAGGGGGAGGAGGATTGTTGCTGCAGAGACAGCGAGGGTTAATAGCACTGGAGAAATGGCGTGTGTGTGTGCCCTCTCTCCTGGCACCCTGCAGCCACTGTGCTAAAGTTTGTAGAGCTTGCATCGCCTCATAGTCTGGGGTCCAAGGACACATGTCCACCTTGGCATCCTTCACTGTACCCCTAACTGCCAATTCACTGCCTTAGGGGGCAGGTGCAGATGGACGTAGATCTTCAGAGTGTGGACATCAATCAGTGTGCCAGCGGCCCAGGCTGGTACTCTAACACACACCTGTGTGATCTCAACAGCACCCAGGTAAGGATACAGAGGGTGGGGGTTCTGGTGTCCTGCCTCCCTCCCCTTTCCCATCACTGCCATCAGGAGCTGCTGACAAAGGCACACCACCCTCTCCGGCTTCAAGGAAGTCCCTACTGATAAGATAGATAGAGATGAGATACCAGGCTTTTTAAGAGTGAGGACACATACAGCCTAGCCCCATCCCCCCACCCGAGACAGCCACCTTCATTCCTTTGCATTCTCAGTGTGCTTCCTGTCTGCTCTCCCTTCTGGTACTAGGTGCTCCAGGATCCCTTCCCAGGACCGCCTCCTGAGCCTCTACTAATTGTCCCCTTTCCTTCTCCTGAATCACATTCTCCATGTCAACAGAGCTCAGGGCTCCTTCTGACCCACAAAGGATGCTCTGTTGGGTGGTTGTTGAAATAAGTAGAATTGCTGGTTGGGGTGTAGGAGGAGACTAACCAGAGAAGGAACTTGAAGAGCTCTGGGACCGGTAAAGGTGATGGAACCCAGGTGAGATGCTGGCAAAATCAAAGCCGTGGATGCAGGAGAATCTGGATAATGGAAAGCAATGGTTGATAATCCTGCAAGCCCAGTACTGGGAAACTGGCAGGTCAGTGAACTAATCCGCTCCACAGTTACACTGACAGCATGCTTGTTCCTGAGCTGAACCAAAGCCAAGGGGAGTTCTGCAGCCTGCTGGGAGGTGTGGTGGGTTTGGGCATCTGTTGCTCTTCAGGGCTTATGTGTTTGGAGCTATCAGTCCAGGGATGGATAAGGGCTCCCATTGTCCAGTGCACTTTTAAACACAGCCACATTCATGTCTCTGGGTATGCATTTGTCTATGGCAGGAACAGAACATTTTCCAGTGGTCTGAGTAAGAGGGGAAGCTGGGCCACGATTTCAGAAGCACCTTCTAGGGGCTGGATATGTAATCTTCCTTCCTTTGCCCCACTGCTGTCTGTTCCCAGCCACTCCCTACAGTAGGTCTGACCTCATCCAAGGGCTCATCTTCCCTGCCTGGCTCTGAGGTCTGCTCTGTCCCCTGCTGGGCAAACATCAATGGGTGGAGGTGGAATAAAGAGCTGGCCTTGGCATCCCACCAGCCTGGCATTAGCCTGGCATTAGGGCTGGGGAGAGCAGTCCTGCGCCAAAGCCAGATGGCCCTGATGGAGGAAGCTGCTCCTCCATGGGGGCCTTTTCAACCCACCTGTGTGCCAAAGAGGGAGGCTGATGGGGACCCTTGAAGCAGGATGTAGGCACACAGGTGTGGTTGAGCTCAGATTTCTCCCTGCTTCCACCTCCCCAGCACCTTGCTCTAGCATTAGCTGGGCACTGGGAAATGGGACCTGTGAAACTCCTGTTAGGGCCAGTCTGAATAAAAGGGTGATCCATCTCCATACTCTTTGCTTGGAGGTCTCTTTGAGAAGAGAGGCAATGGTGGGGGCAGAGTAGGGTTTCCAGGGATGGAAGGCTTCTCAAGGGCTGGGGTGGCTTTCTGGTGGGGCTCCCCGGTGTAGACCCAGGGGCTGTGGATAGGAAGGTAGATGCACCCTCCATCTCTTCCCAGGAGGGAAAGCCTCATATAAATACCGATTGTGTTTGTCATCCCCACAGTGTGTCCCCCTGGAGAGTCAGGGCTTTGTCCTTGGCCACTACCTCTGCCGCTGCCGACCTGGCTTCTATGGGACAAGCAGCTCCGGGGGTATGTAACTATGCGGAATGCCAGGAAGGCGTTTTACAGGCTGGGCTGATTGGAGGGGGGCATCTGGGGAAGAAAGGCAGGTTGGGGTGAGACACTGGGAGAAAACTCATGGAGCAAGGGAAGAATGTCGAGAGAAGCAGGAGAGGCAGGCAGGGTCCAATTTGGGGGTGTCTGTTCCTTCCGAGAATTAGCTTATAACATGCCAGTCTGATGCAAGCTGACCTCGCAGTGAGTCCTAGCCTGGCACCGCCTCTTCCTGTAACCCTGCCTTCCCCTGAAAGTACCCACTTCTTCATTCCTACCCATCCTGACGCTACCCCAGGGGCCACAGACCATAAGAGGGCGGGGAGAGAGCTGTGGTGACCATTGGGAGAGAAGGCTGGGGTCTCAGGTTGTCCCAGCCATGCCCCTCTCCCTGCACACATCCTGTTCTTTATAGGCTCAGAGGAGGGTGCTGCCCAGCCTGCCGGGCAATTCGGGTCCCCTCAAGGCAGCTCCGGGAGGCTGCTGCGGTGCCAACCATGTGCTGAGGGCTGCTCCAGCTGCCTGGATGCCACGCCGTGCCTGGTGGAGGAAGCCCCCGCGCTGCGGGCAGTGGTGCTGGCCTCTCAGACGTGCTGCATGCTGGCCGTCTTCCTGAGCATGCTGGTCTCCTATCGCTGCCGCCAGACCAAGGCAAGGAAGGCCCCACATCTCTCTTCTACACACGTGTCCTACCCATCCTGAGTCTCTAGCATCAACCGGAGACCACAGACTGCCTAAGACCAGAACTTGAGAGAAATGGGTTCTGGCCCTGATTCTTAATCTAACTCACTATGTGACATGAGGCGAGTGACCTCACCATCTTAGACCTGTTTCCTCACCTGCTCAATGAAGGCATTGGGCTTGATTCAAAACACTGTGTAGGCACTAGGGGAAGTGATCTGCCCCCTCAGACATGTAAATAAAACGACAGCACAGCAAAACAGGGGCCAGGTGTCAGTTGCTGTGGCAGCTCAGAGAGGGGACCCAGTCACCCTGCCTGAGATGGCGTGGGAAGACTTTCTGGAGAACATGACATTTGAGCCAAAGTTGACGGTCAATTGACAGAGAAGCGAGTTTCTAGACAAGGAGGCAGTCTGACCCAAAGCTTGGAGGAAAGCCTGAGATCCCTTCTAGCTCCAGCAACCTCTGATTCTAGCCCAGGTCTGCAGCAAGGCCCAGGCTGGGAATGGGAGGGGCATGGGCCTGTGGTGGCAGGAGCTATATGAAACCTTTGCCTTAGCCAGGCTTAGTGCCAGTGGAGCTAAGAGCCTGTGGTGAGAGTGGCTGTGGATGGAGAGGGCAGAGCTAATGTTACAGGGTGAAGCTTTAGCTTCAGGGCCATGGGGTGACCCCTCAAACAGGCCTGAGACCCTCCTGTACCATCCTCCAGGCTCTGTCCTCTTGCTGCCCTGCTTACATACTTCTCTCTTTCCTGGGTTCACAGAGGATCCGGGCATCTGGAGTGGTACTGCTGGAAACCATCCTTTTTGGATCCCTGCTGCTCTACTTCCCTGTGAGTCTGTGGCCAGAGGCTGACCCCACCTCCCAGGATCCCCCATAGTCCCAACCTGGTACCCTCCAAGCCCCAGAATCCTTCCTCTCTGCCCTGTTGGGGGGATTCAGAGACCTCAAAATCCTCCAACTCATACCCACAAATGACAGGCTGGTCTAGTGAGCTCTGGAACCAAACAGCCAGGCTTAAAAGGAGCTCTATGACCTGCTGTGTGACTTAGGACAAGTTACCTAACCTCTCTGATAACAAAGGTACTCCTTTGCAGAATGGAGGTGATGATGCCTCTATGAAAAGGCGGTTAGGAGGATCAGCACTGTGTTTAGCATAGGCCTGGCACACAGTGGAAGTGCAGTGGAGAGCGACTGTTTTTGCCCCTCCCCGCCAGGTCTTCATCCTGTGCTTCAGGCCCAGTGCATTCCGCTGCATCGCCCTCCGCTGGGTCCGGCTGCTGGGTTTTGCCACTGTCTACGGCACTATCATACTCAAGCTTTATAGGTAGGGTCTGGGGCAGAGCTTGCTCTCACGCTGCTCACTCCAGGCTACCCCAGCTCATTTATGGAATGAAGTTCTTCACAGCCAGACCCCTACCAGCTCTACTCCTCTGTGCCCCCAAGGCCTGCTCCCATCACTATGGCCCTCCCCTCCATGTAACTTTTTTGGGGGTAAGAGGAGGCGGTGAACCATGGAAGGGATGGGAGGACAGGGATGTGCGGCGGGGAGGGAAGCAATGGCCAGGGGCATCTCCCCTCCCTGCATCCACCAGCCACACTCTGACCCTTGTAGAGTGCTCCAGCTGTTTCTGTCTCGAACGGCCCAGCGGGGCCCCCACCTGAGCAGTGGGCGGCTGCTGCAGCGTCTGGGGCTGCTTCTGCTGCTGGTGCTGGGCTTCCTGGCTGTATGGACAGCGGGGATCCTGGAGCAAGGCAGTCAGCACGCGTCCCTGGTGGCGCGAGGCCACACCCACACAGGCCGCCACTTCTACCTCTGCCACCACGACCGCTGGGACTACATCATGGTTGTGGGTGAGCTGCTTCCACTGAGCCCAGCCTCACACTGTACCTCCAGGGGTCCTCCTGCCTTGTACCTGGACCCCTGGACCGGGGTCCCCCCAGCACGGCCTACAGAGAAAGGGGTGCATGGCTGCTGAGGTGGTACCCGGCTCTCCTTATTTCCCCGCAGCTGAGATGCTGCTCCTGTGCTGGGGCAGCTTCCTCTGCTACGCCACCCGGGCTGTTCCCTCGGCCTTGCACGAGCCGCGGTACATGGGCATCGCCCTGCATAATGAGCTGCTGCTTTCTGCCGCCTTCCACGCAGCCAGGTGAGGGCGGGCCCGCCTACCCACCACGGCTCCCACCCAATAACACTCCTCACCTCTCCCAGGTGAGGGTACCCCCACCCCACAGCCCTCCTTGCAACACCGACTACGCCTCAGCAAGGAGGAGGAGGGCCCCCACCTGTAGCTCTCTCCCTACCTCACAGATACCCTTCCTGTAACCCATGTCTCACCCAACACCCGAGAAGAGGAAGCATGCTCCACTCCTAACTCCTCTCCCATTCCACACGCCTCCCCCCCCCCGACTCTCCTCCACATACAGGCTCCATTCTCACTGCCTTCTTCCCCCTCACACCCCAACTGTCCTTGCAGCGGGCCTGCTATGAGTGTCCACAAGGATCTGGCCCTGTGGTGAAGGTAGAATCAACCCACAGGTGGTCCATAACAGAGTTAAGTGCTATAAGCAGCCGGAGAAGGCAAGCTGGAGTAGTCTGGGAGGGCTTCTCAGAGGTGGAGATTAACGTGAGCCCTGAGGTGGGAGGGCAGGAAGAAGGAAGAGTGCCCTCCTCACTGCACAGAGCACCTCCAGGAGATCAGGGCGGGGGCTGGGGAGGACAGCCACTGAAACAGGTGAGAGGGAAGAGGCCACTCCCACCTGTAGCTAACCATCTCCTTCCCACCTCACCCTCAGGTTTGTACTGGTTCCCTCCCTGCACCCAGACTGGACGCTCCTCCTCTTCTTCTTTCACACCCACAGCACAGTCACCGCCACACTGGCTCTGATCTTCATCCCTAAGGTGAGGTCTTCCCCTGGTCTCAATGTGAGGGAGACGCAGCCCCTTTGCCAGGGGCACTGTGGAGCTGCTATGCCCATAGCACCCTCTCCAGGCCAGGGTGAGAATGACACCCTGGGACCTGAGGGATTTGGGCCCTAAGCAAGGAGCCCACTTAGGAGTCACAGAAGGAATCACCGTCCCCAATCCCTAGGCAAAGGAAATAACAGCTAGAGCTGGGACTTCCCTGGTGGCACAGTGGTTAAGAACCCGCCTGCCAATGCAGGGGACACGGGTTTGAGCCCTGGTCCCGGAGGATCCCACATGCCGCGGAGCAACTAAGCCCGTGTGCCACAACTACTGAGACTGCGCTCTGAGAAGCCCACGCACCGCAACGAAGAGTAGCACCCGCTCTCCGCAACTAGAGAAAGCCCACACGCGGCAATGAAGGCCCAACACAGCCAATAAATAAATCAATAATTAAAAAATAATAATGAAAAAACACTTGAAGTTTAAAAAAAAAAGAGCTAGAGCTGAAGGGAGTCCTTGTAATACAACTGGAAGGTTGGGAGACTCTGAAAATCAACTCGGAAGCAGTTACAGAAAGATAGGTGAGGGGCGGGTAGCTGAAGGACATGGCTAGGAATTGTGGGGGCAGGGCATTGAGACCCCTGGTCTCTGTAGAGAAAATCAGGAAGGAGAGGGAACAATACTCCTTGGACCCCCAGAATCAGAGAGGGGGTGAAGATCTATGGAGTAAATACATATGCCACGGGGCAGGGAGCCAAGGTGAGTCTTTTTCCCGATCATGCCCACCACCATGGCCAGTTCCGGAAGCCAGGGGCTCCTCCCCGAGAGGAGATCTTGGATGAGGTGTACGAGGACGAGCTGGACCTGCAGCGCTCAGGCTCCTACCTGAACAGCAGCATTGCCTCAGCCTGGAGCGAGCACAGCCTGGACCCTGGAGACATTCGGGTAGGTGCTGCCCTCCCCACCTCCTCTTGATGCTACTTAGGGACTGGGCAGGGGGCACAGCTGCCCTGCCACCCGGGCTGTGTGCCACTGCAGGTCCCCTCTCCTCCCCATAGCTTTTCCTCTAAGACCCGGCTCCCTCTCTTCTCCACCACTGCCCTAAGCTGCTTCCCCTGACTCTACTCAAAGGAGGCCACACAGTGGATAGACTGCCCCCACCCTGCAAAACCCCAGAACCCAGATTCCTGAGGCCCACTTGGCAAGGTAGAGGCAGAACCATGAGTGGAGCTCAAATCACCTGTGTCTCCTGTGTCCTCCACTCCCACTCAGCAGGGCCACCATGAGGGGCAGCCTAAGAAGCCCCTCAGCCCCCAACATACCAGGCAGTTAGTGGCCCTAGGGCCATTGGGGCTGGGTGGGTGATTCAGGCAGTGAGTGGCTACCAGGCATTTCCACACCAGGGTCCCCTTTCCCTGGACCCAGCAGTGTTAGAGAAAGGAAGTTCTTCCTGAGTCTTACATCAGGAGAGCATCCTTACCTTATTTTTCTGCTTAAGAATATCATTATAGTCACAGAAACCCTAATGAGAGGCTCAGAGAGTAGGAAATAAAGAGACCTGGCGGTAAAGCCCATCGTCTTATAGAACCTGCATGTGGGAACAGTCCCAGGAAGCCATTTTGTCCATCCCTCCACCTCCCCTGGGGCCCCCTCCACAGCTGACTTGTTTACATCCCCCAATTCCTTCCTTGTCTCAACTGCCTTTGCCTCTCTTTCCCCCGTAACCTCCTCATCCTCTGAGCTCTGCCTGCCCTGCCGCCTGCCCCCTGGGGATAGGCTGAACTGAGACCCCAATCCAGCAGGCAGGCCAAAGAGTGGAGGCACACTGCCACAGAGACACCATCCTTGACCCTCCAGTATGGGGAGCAGCAGCCCATGTACCTCCCCTATGCTGGCTGCGGGGAGAGATCCGAAGTACAAAAGACTTTCAAGGCCCCATTCCGTCACTTACACCTGAATATGGCAGTTTTCATGCCCACTGGTCCCACCACCAATCTCATACAATCCTCTGAAGGAAGTGAACACTAGGCAGCCAGTTTTCCTTACTTTATTGAAGCAGAGGCTCAGAGAGGGCAAGAAAATAGCCTGGAGGCACATGATGGGTCAGCAGCCTCAAACCCAGGTTTCCTGTCTCCCAAGCTGGAGACTTCCCACCAGACCACAGTGCCCAGAGAAGTCAGTGGTGCGCTGAGGCCTCGGAGCTAAGTGGGTCGGGCTCGGGAACTAGGTTGTTGGCGCCGCAGGACGGAGAGGTGAAATCTGAGTTTTAAAAGCTGGGAAGAGACACAGCTTGGTGGGAGAGAGATCCCCCAGAGAAAATGGTCTGAGCAAGGGCTGAGGGGCAGAGCAGCGCCGCCAGGGGATGGAGAGCTTGGCCCTCACCGCCAGCTCTGTATCCCCGGTCCCCCCGCCCCCAGGACGAGCTGAAGAAGCTCTACGCCCAGCTCGAGGTCCACAAGACCAAGGAAATGGCCGCTAACAACCCGCACCTGCGCAAAAAGCGAGGCAGCTGGCGCCAGGCCCTGGGCCGCTCCTTCATGAAGTACCTGGCCGAGTTCCCCGAGGCCCTGACCCGCCAGCACTCCCGGGACTCGGGCTCCCCGGCCCGCGGCAGCCTGTCCGGGGGCTCCTCCCGCCGCCGGCTGCTCAGCGCCAGGCTGCCCAGCGCCAGCCTCCGGGAGCCCGCCGCGCCGCCGGGTCTGCGCAAGTCCCGTAGCACCTGCGAGCAGGGCCGCGCTCCCCGCGGGGAGCAGTACCCGCCTCTGCTCGACTCGCTGCTGAGGAGGAAGCTGGCCGGCAAGGACCCGCAATCCGAGAGCCGCGAGTCGGCGGCAGGGCCGCCCGCGCTGAGCTTCAGGTCGGCCAGCGCCCACAATCTGACGGTGGGAGAGCGGCTGCCCTGCGCCCGGCCCGCCTCGCTGCACAAGTCGCTGAGCGTCGTGGCTGGCTCCAGGGAAAAGGCCCTGCTCGAGGCCAGCCAGGCCTACCTGGAGGAGACCTACCAGCGGGCGAGGGAGCGGGAGGAGAGAAGGAAGGCAGAGGCCGCCCTGGCCAGCCCGGCGCGGAGGCCCTCGGCCTGGAGGCTGGAGCGAGCCCGAGCGACTACCCTGTCGGCCCCACCTTCCCCGGCCAAGAGGAGCAGCGTGGACAGCTCCCACGCCTCCAGAAAGCTGCACGAGGAGGCCGTGAGAAGGCTGCCCCACCCGCCCATCCAGCACCAGATCTCCACACCCATCATGGCCACGTCCGGGGTGGGCCTGGGGGAGCCAGGGATGCTGTCTCCCACCTCCACCTTATCTCTGGCTCTGCTGCCAGCTCCCGCCCCTGCCCTGGCACCCATCCCAGTACCCCCACAAAGCCCCAGCCTACTCACCTACATCTGCCCCTGGGAGAATGCAGAACTGCCATCGAAGAAAGAAAATGTGGCTCAGGAAGGCCCCTCGGGGCCAGAGCGAGGCAACCACTCTCCCGCCCCGGGTCGGGCCAGGCTCTGGAGGGCCCTCTCTACAGCAGTAGAGAAGAGCGGGGCTGGGGAGAAGGGGATGGACACGGAGGACAGGCGTCTCCAGGGGGACGCTGATGAGGATGAGGATAGGCCCAAGGTCTTCTCTAAGTCTAAATCCCACAGCCTCAAGACCCCTGTTCAGCAGGGTTCCATGCGTAGTCTGGGGCTGGCTATCAAAGCTCTGACCCGTTCTCGGAGCACATACAGAGAGAAGGAGAGCGGGGAAGGATGTCCTGAGAAGGAAGAGAAGAGCCAAGCTTTGGGAGAGGGTGTGGGGGCATGTCCCAGATCTCCCAGGTCAGGCCGCCCCAAGGCGGTGAGTAAGCAGGCCGCGCTTGCCCCCTGTGATGACGAGGAGTCCCTCCAGAACCAACAGAACGCTCACACAAGCAGAATGCTCCAAGTCTGTCACCAGGAGGGCAGCAGGAAACAAGCAGACAGAGGCAGGAGGCCATCCCAGGGTCTAGGGGAGGGGAAGGTTGCGAGAGCAGGTAAAACAGGGCCTGCCACACTGAGGCAAGTCAGGCACGGCACAGTTAGGGACAAAAATGTTAAGCAAGCAAAAGAAGCCCTTGGGGGGTGGCGGGAACTGCCCAAAGCTGGCCTCCAGCCCCTGGGCAGTGCTGACCAGAGGGTGATAGATGTATGCCCCTGGGAAGTCACCGAGTCAGAAACGTGTCAGCCTGACAGTAGCAACAAGGCCGAAACCTGCCCCTGGGAGGTGAGTGGAGTCCCTGAGGAGGCGGCACTGAGGCAAGATCTAGATGCCTCCCAAGATGAGAGGGGGAAAGCCTCAGAAAAACCAGAACCCAAAGATGTGGTTGCCATTGCTCAGAAAAAGCCAGAGAGACTGGTCAGGGGACAGGAGGCAGTGTGTCCCTGGGAGAGTGCCGACCCTGGGGGTCTATCCCCTCGGTCAGCCCCTCAGGACTCTGACAGAACCAAGGGCAGGTCTGAGACAGTGGGCAGAGTGGAGCCTAGAGAGGTAGAGACACGACCGTGGGAAGCCGCTGGCCCAGGAGCTTGTACATCTGACATCACCAAGGCAGGGCTCTGTCCCTGGGAGGCAAGTGAAGGAGGAGAGAATGAGAAACCGTCCCAGGAGGGAGTAAAGAAGCTCCCCCAGGCAAAGCAGAAAACTCCCAAGAAAGCAATCTTCTTGGAAGAACAGAAACTGGGTGAAGGGTTGGAATCTCTTTGTCAGTGGGAAAGGACAGATTTCCGGAGCCCCTCAGCAGTCTCTACTCAGGCCCTGGGAACCTCCGGGTGCTCGGGGAGTCTGGGCAGTAGCGTCACTGAGGCGTGTCCATGGGAGGCAGGAGATGCTCCTGCTATCAGGAAAGCAGAGATTTGTCCCTGGGAGCTGGGTGATGAGGTAGTAGGGAAGGAAATGATGAGTCAGAGGACAGGTGGAGAATCTCTCCAGGAAAAGGGAAAAACCTCCAGAAAAGGGAGCTTTGGAGAGATGTGGGAACAAACTGGGAAAGCAGTGCAGAAATGTAGTCAACAGCAGAAGTCCGTGTGTCCCTGGGAGAGCACAACCCCTGGGCACTCTAGCCCACATCTAGAAAACTCCTCATCCAAAGCTGGTGGCCAACTCCTCAGCAAGGGAGGAAGCAGAGCAGCGCAGGTATGTCCACGGGAAGATCTCAGGTCAGAGGCAAAGGAAGCAACACCTGCCAAGGCGGAAATCTGTCCCTGGGAGGTGAATGAACGAACGACAGAGGACTGGATATCGGGACAGGCACCAAAAGGAGAATCTCAAAAGGACAAGGAGAAGATGCCTGGAACATCAGGAATCAAAGATAGCACAACTTGGGAAAAGCCTGAGGGACAGATGCAAAAGCAGGAAGCAGTCTGTCCCTGGGAGAGGGTGGACCCTGGCAGCTTCTCCCCACAACCTGGTCCTCGAGACATAGATAGACCCAAAGCCACTTTCCAGATGTCAGGCAGTACGGGAAGCAAAACTGCTGAGATCTGTCCCTGGGACGCGGAGGAAATCCTGCCTGCTGAGAAGGCAGAGATCTGTCCCTGGGAGGTGAGTGCTGGAGCAGGGGAGAAAAGGGCTTTGGGAATTGAGGCCATTAGGCAATTTCCAAATGATACAGGAAGGGCTTCTGCAGCTTCTGGACCTGAAGAGACAGCTGTTACTGCTCCAAAGAAGCCAGAGAGGCAGGCCTGGGAGCGGGAGGTGGCCTGCCCCTGGGAGAGCTTGGATCCAGGGGGCTCCTCTCGGCATTCAGGCACTCTGGGCACCGACAGACCAAAAGCTGGGCTCCAGGTATTGGACCGTGTGGGGTGCAGGCCAGCTGAGGTGTGTCCCTGGGAAGCAGAGGGAGCGCCTACCAGTGAAAAAGCCAAGATCTGTCCCTGGGAGGTGGATGAAGGAGCCCCCGGGAAGGAATCGGAACAAGAGATGGGGACTGATTCCATGGGGCAGAGGGAGAAAACTCTAGAAAAGGGGAGACTCACCTCTCTGGGAGAAGACATATCAAAATGGGAGACAAAACTGAGTCAAGAGCAGGAAGCTATGTGTCCTTGGGAGAAGGAGTTGAGGACACCCTCTGCTCAGGCCGAGGTCTCAGACTCGTCCAGCAGCGGGAGTAGCAGAGTGGCAGAGGAGCACTCCTTGGAAGTGAGTGATGAAGCAGCACAGAAAGGGGACCTGACACAAGACCCAAAGATGGGCTCCTTCCCAGAACAAGCAGAAAAAGCAGAAGTCACTGCTGCAGATGGGGAGAAAGCAAGCAATGAGCTACGACCTATCTGTCTACAGGAGAGCATGGCCCCGGCGGGCTCTTTCTCCCACCCAGACAGTCACTGCCCTGACCAACCTAAAGCCGGTGCTCAGACACTGCTCAGCGTTGGGGGCAGGCTTGCTGAGGTCTGCCCGTGGGATGCTCCTGCCATGGATGCTCCCAAACCTGACAGCGGCGCCAAAGCTGAGACCTGTCCCTGGGAGGTGACTCAAAGAATCCCCGAGGAAGGGGTGTCAAGACAGGATGGAGAAGGGGAGCATCAAGAGGAGAAGGAGAAAGCCCCAGAAAAACCAGAGCACAAAGTTGTGGCTGTTCAGGCAAACTCAGAGAGTGCAGATGGGAAACAGGAGGCTGTGTGTCTCCAGGAGAGTCAAGATTGTGGGGGTCTGTCTCCACAACCAGCCCCACAAGCTTCTGACAGAAGCAAAGAAAGTTCCGAGGCAGCAGGCAGCGTGGGGGCCAGAGTAGCAGAAGTGTGTCCATGGGAAGCAGAAGAGGCTCCCTCTGATAAGAAAACAGAAATCTGCCCTTGGGAGGTGAGTCAAGGAGCAGCAGAGAAAGGGGGACTGGAACAAGAGTTGGACAGAGAATCTCAAGGGCAAGGAGAGATGTTCCTGCAAAAGGCAGGATCTGGAGGGACTGAAGAACACTTTTCAGAAGAAGTAAAAGTCAACAGAGAGCGAGAGACCGTCTGTCCTTGGGAAGGCACAAGGTCAGAAGGGCTCTCCCCCGAGCCAGATGCTCCAGACATGGACGAACCCAAAGTCGGTCCCCACAGAGCAAGCAGTATGGGGAGCAGGATGGCAGAGCTGTGTCAATGGGAAGTCACAGATCCAGAAGGAAATAAAATAAAGGGGACCATGGCAGACATCGATATATGTCTTTGGGAGGTAACTGGAGCCTCATCTGACGAATCTGGCCTCCTGGTTTTAACAGAAACTCAGACAGAAAAACCCTGCCCCACAGCCCCTGAGAACCCACCATGCCTTTTAGTCCACAGACCTCTGGGTGGCTTCCTTCCAGAAGGCAAAAGCCCCTGCCCCAAAGTGAGAAAGCCAGCCAGTACTTTTACTCCGGAAGGTGTCAGAGAACTCCAAGTACCTTCAGAACTTGGGCCGAGGACCAGCTTAGTCCCAGAGCCAACTCTCCAGGAAGCTAAGGCTCAGGAGTCTTCCTCCTTAACCGAAGACCAAGGAGAAGTGGCTTCTAAAGCTCAACACGAAGAACTCACCCCTCCAACTGTCTATCCTTGGGACCACGAGTAACAACTCCATCAGGTAAGGTGAAACATTGGGTGGCTATCTTTTAGAAGCCAAGGTCCTTTCCAAGTCCTAGGTGTTTCCAAAAACTGGAATCAAACACACTTGGCCACTTTCTCTCTCCAAGGTGGCCAGAAGTCAACTCATTCCAAGACAAACTGTACAAAAAGGGTTTAGCTCGGACCACAGAAGTTAATCCCATCCCCTCTTTACTTCCAACTCTTCTCCCTGCTCCAGAGAACAAGGGCCGGACCTTCTACTTCTAATGAATCCTCCCATCCAGCTAGAATACTCAACACAAGCTGTCTGTGACACGACACTCACTTGTAAAGCCAATGTTAGTGATAAAGGGAAGTCAGCTGTGCCCAGCCCACATTTTCTCAAAAGGAGACCCATTCTTCTGTGAAGTCTACAAAGGACATTTTTTGGGAAGAAACTAAACCACGCAAGGCATTGGCAACATAGGGGCTGAGGAAGGTCACCACAGGAAGCTTAGAAGCCACTTATTCAAGTTCAAAGATAAATCAGGGGGAAAACTTAAATGGCTCAAAAGAGGTGCCTGAAATGCCTCAAAGATCCTGTCATTTTGACTTTGGGTCTCCAGGTTCTGCTTTATTGATTCTCTCGTACCTGCCCTGCTTGACTGCTGAAGTACAGAGAATCAAGCACACTTACGTCAACATCTGGCATCTAAAGCAACATCAGAGACAGAGAGCATAAAGGGAAAGGCAATTGCTCCAGTTTAAGCCCAGTTTAAGAAGTATGACTCTTACAAGCCTTTTCAGATGGCCTTCCCTCCTTCCTGCCCCATCTTTTGCCAATCTGCAGAGTTCACCCCACTGCCTCATTCTCCTAGCCTTTCAGTGCTGTCATCAAAGGGACCCCTCTCTGTTGTCAAATGCAACTGGAGCCAGGGGGAATTTCTGGTTCCAATGCAAGAACCACTCCAAATCACTTGCTCAGTAACAGGAGGCCCACATCAGTCTCTTTCCCGAGAAGCCCGAGAAAGAAAGGAGGTCCTGTTTACAGCCAGCACTTTAACTGCCCTCAGAAAGAGTAGTGCTATGAGGCAGGTTAGAGGCCTGAGGGCCAGGGAAAGGGCATCGTGTAAATACAAAGCCTCCTTTCTTAGGGAGCTCTCTCTCGTTCTTAGCTCGGTTCAATTCTCTCAAGTCAATTCAGGCTACCCTTACTTAAGTGGTCCTAGATAACAGAGTGCTGGAATTAAGTGATACTACCAGAGGGGAATGAGGAAGGAGAAAAACGTTGGTCACAGACGTCCCAGGATCGGCAGGGGTGAGGTGGGGGTGGAAATAGGCAGACTAAACATGGCACAGGGGCCCACCCTCTAACTGGACAGATACTGATGCCATTCACCAGGAGGAAAAACACACAAGAAGGGGACCAAACACCCAATGGGGAAAATACCAGTCTGCATGTAAATACTCTCGGCAGCTACAGGGCTTCACAGAAATAGGAGCAAAGTGCTCCATTTCCAAAAAGAAGAAGGAATGGAGTAACCCACTTTCAGAGACCAGAGGCCCTTGTTCCATATCTAGGCCTTCCCTCTTACCTAGGTCCCCTGCCCTAGGCTTCCAGAGTAGTAACTAAAGTGTGTTGTTTTTCTGGGCTCTAGCTAGTTAGCCTCACAGCTTGCGAGCCAATGCAAATTCTACACCTCAGAACAATCCCACTGGGTCTGGACTAGCTGGGAACAGAAAAGTTGTCTCTCTAACCACAGTTGTGAAATAAACCATGGGGAAGAAAATAAAGAATGCTTCTTCTTGACTATTGCAGTTGTTTCTAGCTTATTCATTATGGTGATTTTATTTTTTCAATGTTTCTAAATATTAATAGTAGATAGATAAGGAAAGAACAATGCCTGCTCTAAAGCCCAAGGTAGCCACATGGCAGCCTTCAGGACAATGGGACTGTCTGGCTAATTCTCAGCCAGTGCCCAGCTACATGGGTGGCACTGCAGATGGTCTCCGCCCGGCCCTTCAAGCCAATCCTGTACATCTGGGCCATTTGCTCAGCTGGATTTGATCCCAAGGGGAAATGAAAATTGCACTTATCCTCTGGCTGCCTGGTGGCTCCCTGGCTTAGCCGCTGTTTAGGATTATCTAGAGACCCCTGAGACAGGGGAGTGAGGGGAGTGAGGTGGAGTGAGGTGAAACAGCTTATGTGAAACACTGTGTTTTAATATATTCAGAGAAATCAAGACGTCGTTTAGCCATTAAGTGTGCTTTGTGTCTGTTTCCCTACCCTCCCAGGATTGCCTCCCCTTACTCCATACTCCCCAGCTGTGGATCCTACTCAAAGCACTTCCCTTCTCGTTTTGCCTTAATCCAGGGCTCAGGCAAATAGGATATGATCAAACCTCACTTGGGCAACAATGCTGGAAACTGATGTACATTTTAAGCCAAAAGGGTTGAAGCTAAGTAGCACGATGAGGGTGGCTGCTGTGGATTAACCTAGTAGAGCTGCCTCCTCCCTAAGCATACACATCTTGTGTCTGTGGTCAGCACTCAGCAGCTGTTACTAAGACATCAGTTTTCCCCAGGGAGGCCTGGTCTCTTTGCTGCTTTGCTGAAGTGGTAGCTTTACAGAGACTGAGGGGTCAGGTTATTCTCAACCTGATTCCAGTTTCTTTGGGCTCTACTCTCAAGACAAGGTCAGAACAGATTAATCCTTGACCCAGGTGATAAACTCCTTAAAAGAAAATACTAGATTTGAAAAACAGAAACACAAGAATTAAGGTCCTGATTTTTAAGGGGAGCCCTCATGGGCTGATCAAAGTAATAGTACTATAAACCAAGCTTGCTGCTGGGACAGTGATTTCCCTTGTCATACCTCAGATGACCCAGGACACGAGCATGAGAAGTCCCACATCCTCCTCCAGCTTGAGCTAAGGAACAAGAAGGGGCTGGGCTGTTTCACTCTACATGGGTCCATATTCTGGTATCTTTGCCTCCAAATTCGGGATGGAAAAAAAAGTCACCATCTCCAAAAGGTGCTAGAAATCAGGGAACTACGTCTTATTGATGGATTTCCCAAATGTATCCACACTACCATGGCCCCTTCCTCCTCTGACGCTTCCTGGGATCACAGCAGGATGCAGCTGGTAATTAAGAACAAAATCCAAAGGCTGAGGGCTAAATGACGTCTTCGGATTTACATTCATCTATGAAATACAAACATTGGTTCAGTGAGTCAGTGTATGCGAAAAGACCCTCTTAAATGACGCCACTTTTATAAACACTAATTATTTTTCCCAAGTCTGGATTTCCTGTAAGTCACATCACTCACAATTAAGATAACTTCCACTTCTGCCCTCTGAAGGCTGGTCTACTTCCATCCTGAACCAGGAGAAATATACAGAGCCCACCACATTTGTCCAATACCTGGTAGTGTTTTATTTCAAACTCTGATCCTGCCCTGTAATTAGAAAGAAAGTTCTGCCAGTTTGCTCCTGACAGTTCTTGCTGCCGGAAAAGCTGGTATCAGATGTTCTCTGAAACATACTGTTTTTCATCTGGAGTTAGAAGCTAGATATAAGATTAAAAAAAGAAGAAGTAGGTCCATTGCTGCGCACAGGACCGACCCACTAGGGCCCAACCATCAGTAGTGGTTACTGAGGGTGAGACTGCTAGAAAGACCCAAGCAGGGCAAGAGAGAACAAAGGTAGCTCTCTCTACAGCATGAAGAAAATGCATGACTTCACAGCTCCCAGACTCCCAGACTTCACAGCTTCCAGCCACATCACCACCCACGCTTCACCCGAGGAGTCACTTTTGCCATCACGCTAGCTGAGGCTTATGGGCCTCTCCTTGTGGCTCTTCATACTCTTCCCAAGGTTTCATCTGGGGGCCAGGGATCATCACCGTCTGAAAGAGCAGGATACTGAGTTATCTACTATCCAAGTCCATGGCTTACCTAAGAGATTCATGCCCGCCTCCACGCCCACTTCCGTGCCCACCGCCAACAAGAGGACTCCTCTTCCTGGTGGTGCATCACCCTCTCTGTCCACTAGGTGGAGCCCAACAGGAGTGGCTTAGAATGCCCTGTCTTAAACCATGCAAGCTGCTTTACCTTAAGGATAGGCTGCTTAGGGGGTGCCCATGGGGGAATGATCTTGCCATGCATTCTCCAGCTCCCATAGGGATTCACCAGATGCTTTTCAAAGACAACATACTCCAGGACATCCCTGGGCACATCTTCCTGTCCATACATCAACCGGCCAAACCGATCATAGATGGCCAGAGTCTGAAAATGAAAGCACATCTAGTCGGTTAGTCCTCAGAGTTCTTTAATTCTGAATCTAGACTAACAGATCAACCACTGACACTTTACTCTTAGAGGGTTTTTGACTGGGGGGGCGGGGGGGTGGAAGGAGGTGGGAGGGAGTCCAGGAAGGGTGGGGAAGAATATCCCCACACCTGTTTTAGTACAGCTAACATCGAGCAGTGGGAAGGGTGCAGTGACAAGGTAAGACAGACCTTTCCTTAGAACTCAGAGTCCCGGGCAGCTGTACCCAGAAATCAGAGGGAGGTGCCCAACCTGAGAGTGAAGAAAGCTGGGAGGAAAGCAGACTGGTGCCTCTACCTGCCGGGTGTGCATGCGGATGGTGACCTGGCCATACGCGTTGCCCTGGTTCAGCAGACTTGAACAGCGAACCTGCACCACCTGGGGTGGCTCTAAAGATTCCACGAAGTTCCAGCGGACGGTCTTGTATTTGATGTCCCAGACCATGTCCTGAGGGCAGAGGAGAATAGTTCAACTGGATTTTTCCCTCCCTGTAGGGAAGTTGGAGCTTATTTCCACGCTTGCTCTTCTTGCAATACCACAGTCAACATGCAACGTTTCCCATCAAATGCTCTCTGGTGCTTATTTTCTCTCACCTTAAGCTACTGCTCATGCTCACCTCACAACAACTCTCTTTCCATTTCTACATCACAACTCAAGACCCACCTACCTCCTTGAGGACCCTTCTCCAAATCAATGAAGGCCACACTCCAACCTGCCAGCTTACCTAATATCCCATTGTCCCTCCTACACACGTCCATAATCTGCTCATTATTGCATGCATTTCTTTTTTTTTTTTTTTTTTTGCATGCATTTCTGTTGACTGCACATGTTTGGTTTTTTTCCTCTCACCTTTGGCAATGAAAGGTGGGATTTTATAGGAATTTTATAGCCTTTTATAAAGGCTAACCTGCTAAGACTAGGAAAGCGATACTTGTCCCTGGGGAGATGAAGCAAAACTGATAGAAACTGAAGTTCTTATTCTTGAACCTCTAACTGAACCACAAAGGCCTCATTGTTAGGGGTCTCCCAGAGTACCTAGCACCCCCGTTATCACACAATGTAAGCCTCACGAACACTGGTTAAATCCTTTACTGTAGTATAGGTATGTGCAGGGCTGGCCTCATGTGACCATACCCTC